CAGGGGCACGACTACCACCGGGAGAACACTCAAAGGCAGCACCCCCAGAACCAACACCCCCAGAGCGAGAACCCCCTCCAGTACCAGCGGCACCCCCAAGCCCGCCGGGACAGACCACGACAGGGGCCGCAGGACGAACACCCTCCTCAACGCCAGCACCCCCAGAGGCCAAGAGCAGCAGTGGCGGCGGCGACGGCGGCGGCGGCTTTGACGGCGGCGGCGGCGGTGGCGGCGGCGGTGGCGGCTGCGACAGCGGAGGCAGAGACACAGGGGAAGGGGGACGCGGCAAGGATGGGCCGGGGGGACCACCAGAGTCAGCAGACTCCTCAACGGGGACAACCGACGGGAGGGGAGTGACATGGGAGACACCAGACGGGGCAGGACGAGGCGGGAGGGGAGTAGGGGCTACCGGGAGAGAGGGAGCAAGGAACAACGGGGGGGGAACCGGGAGACCTCGGTGAAGGAAGTGACGGTAGAAGGAGACAGACTCGTCAAAGGTGACGTCACGAGCGTGAAGGAAGCGGTGAGACTGCGGGTGGTAGAAGAGCCAGTTCGACGAGTCCAGGGGGAAACCGAGGAAGACACAGGGGACAGTGCAGGCAGTGAGCTTGTCCGTGCCAGAGGCACGAACGTGAGCAAGGCAACCCCAGACGTGGAACGCAAACGCGTCACCGGGGGACCCGGTCCAAAGGAGGGTCGGCGAAACCTGCGGCCGCTGGGAACGCGGCCACAAGTTAAGCTAGTGAGCAGCGTAGCGGACAGCGAACGGCCACAGAAAATAGGGGGCATCGGCATGAATCATGGAGGTAGGAGCAACCTCCAGGACCAAGCCGATGCGGCGCTCAGCAACCCAATTATGCTGTGGCAAGTCCGGCAAGGTGTACGACTGGGTGATGCCCTCCGCACGACAGAACTGTCCAAGCCGACCAGAGGCGAACTCGCCGCCACGGTCAGAGTGGAGACACAACACGGGGAGACCGCGGTGAAGACGCGCAGCCACAACCCACAGGAGAAGAACGTCGGGCACGTCGGCCTTCCGCTCCAGGGGAAACACCGTGGTGTAGCACGTGTAGTCGTCGACGAGCACAAGAAAGTAGCGCTCACTGTGCATTCCGGGGACGGGGGCTGGGCCCCAAACGTCCTGGTGCAGGGTCTGAAGGGGAGCAGTAGCAGGGCGAAGCGAGGAGGAGTGAGGGGCACGGCGGAGCCGGCCCTAGACGCAAGGCGTGCACAGTGGCGCAGTCGAGGGGGGAAGTGCGGGGAGCGACTCGGGGAGGCCTAAGACAAGACCGTGCTGAGACATGTGACGTAGGCACGGGAGAGCAGGGTGACCTAAGCGGTGGTGCCACAGAAGGGACGGGTGTGTGAGGGACCGACACGAGCAAGCTGCAGCGACCTGGGAGGACGCACCAACCAGGGGGGAAGCGGTGTCGAGGGTAAACAGACCAAACACCGGGTCCCGGGGGAACGTTGCAAGGGGGGAACCAGAGACTGCCTCGGTATAGACAGCGAACGGCTCGTGCCCAGGGAACGTAGTGGTAACGCCGAGGTCCTGAAGACGGCCAACACCAACCTGGTTTGGGAAGAACGAGGGAACGTGGAGGCCTATAAGAGAGCCCGAGGGAACGGCTGGACAGGGAAGGGAAGTGGAGCTGCGAGCGACGACAGGACTCGCGGAGGGGTCAGCGAGAGCAGCAAGCGGCGTGAGCGTGGAGCGGTCGCGGAAGAAACAGGCAGAAGCACCGGACTCGAGAGTGAAGGACAGCGAGGCAGTAGCGGAGGCCGGAAACGGAGCGAGTGCAGAACCTAGGCTAGGCAAACTAGGGAGTCCTACGCCTGACGCAGCAGAGGAGGCTAAGCTACACAAAGGTGCTACGCCTAAACTAGAGTACACAGGGTAATAAGATCCAGCAACACTAGAAGCGTCAGCATACAAGGCATGCAAAGCAGCACCTATCTGATCCATATCTATATCAAAGATCGGCACGCCCTGGCGAAGGAGGCTGTGCCAGTCGAGGAGGTCCGGGGCCGGGCCAAAGCGACGACGAAAGGGATCGTCGAGGCGGCGGAAACAGCGGGCGGTCGGGTGCGGGCGGCGGCACAGAGTGCCGCGGAGAGGCCTGGTCTGAAGCTGGTACTGGCAGGTCACACCAACGGAGCTGCTGGTAGACGCCAAGCTGCGCGGGCCGCCACGACGGCCACCACCTACGGAGGTGACGGGCCAACCCGGCGGGAGACGAGCCCACGGCTGGGGCTGGGACAGCTGCTACGACGACTGCGACTGCTGCGACGGCTGCTGCGGGTGCTCTTGCTGCAGGGGCGTCAGCTGCTGCTCCTGACTAGCTGAGGCAGTCCCATCAGTAGAACCACTGTCCCCGGCACCACCACGACTACCACCAGCTCCACCACCACGCCCTCCCTGGCGGCCACGACCGGCGCGGCGCGAGCGCTGTTACGGGTGTACCGCAGTTGCAGTCTCGGTCAGAGGGGTCACAGTGGCGACCGCAGTCGAAACGTCAGTAAACGTGCACTGGGAGGGGGCACAGCCATGAAAGATAGAGACTGCCGGCGCACCGCTCGACTGAGCGATAGTGCGCTGGCGAGTCTCGATCTCGGTCAGGGCGGTGAGAAAGTCTGGCAGGGTGAGATCACCCGGGTGCTGGCTAAGGATGTGGTCGCGTGCACTAACAAGGCGGTCAGGCAGGCGCATAGCGATAAAGTAGAGGGTCATGCAGAAGGGGGGAGGGAGCGCAATGAGCTGGGCAGCAGTGCTAGCAATGCGGTAGCGAGACTCTAGGGTGCGCAGGTGAGTGGCAAATTCAGCAACAGTAGGGAAGGAAGCAAGGTCTGGGAAAAGCATAGGGAAGAGCAGGCGGCCTGCAGTAGTGGAGGCAGGCGTGGAATAGCGAGTAACAACAGCTTCTAAGTAAGCCTTGGCTGTATCAACTGTAGCAAAACGCGAACGCTCAGACACAGGGAGGGCGTGGCTGATAGCGACCTGAGCAACTGCATCGCGAGAGTCCCAGACGGCACAGGCAAGTGCAGCAGCAGAGAAAGTCTCACGCTCAGCAGAGGTGGGGTCAGCAGGGGGGGGAGCAGGCCAGGGGGGCGGGGGAGCAAGCCATCAGCATGGAGAACTAAGGAGTGCCCATCCTGGCGCTGACCTGTAACTTGACGGCGGAGATCGGACAGCCAGGCGACGATGTCAACCGCGTGGCCCTCAACGTCCAGGCGGAGGACGAAGTCAGCCATCGTGTAGAGTCAGCGACACAGGGACACAGCGGCACAGCTCCACAGGACACAGCGGCACAGGGACACAGTAGCACAACTCTAGGGGGACGTCGGCAGGACGCTCCAGCGCTGGCAAGCAGAAGACACGAGGCCGGAGACTTGAGGAACCGTGCCGAGCAGAAGACACGGAGCCGCAGGAGCCGGGCGGGCACTGGGAGCTGTGGACCACAGGAGCCCGGCGGGCGCATCGTGGCCGGGCAGGCGCTGGGTGGGGCCGGGCGGGCGGTGTGGGACGGGCGGGCGGAACAAGCCGGGTGGGCGCTAGAAGGGGCCGGGCGGGCGCTAGGAGGGGCCGGTTAAGAGCGGGCGCGAACGGCCAGGGGGCCGGCTAGAAGCGGGCACGACGGCCACGGGGCCGGCTAGGAGCGGGCGCGAACGGCTAGGGGGGCGGCTAGGAGCGGGCGCGACGGCCAGGGGGCCGGTTAGGAGCGAGCGCGAACGGCCAGGGGGCCAGCTAGGAGTGGGCGCGACGGCCAGGGGGCCGGCTAGGAGCGTGCGCGACGACCAGGGGGCCGGTTAGGAGCCAGCGCGAACGGCCAGGGGGGCGGCTAGGGGCGAACGCGACGGCCAGGCGGCCAGCTACGGGCGGGCGCGACGGCCAGGGGGCCGGCTAGGGGCGGACGCAACGGCCAGGGGGCCAGCTAGGGGCAGGCGCGACGGCCAGGGGGCCGTCTAGGGGCGGACGCGACAGCCAGGGGGCCAGCTAGGGGCGGGTCACGAGGGCGGCTCGTGGTTTTTATGCAGCAAAGAACAGTATTTCGTAGTTTTTCAAGCTCAGCTCGATTGAGAAAAAAAACGAACAGGATGAAAAACGCAATGTCAACTACCATTAGCAGCGAAAAAACGGGCAGAAACATCAATACCGGTACAAGTTGCAGCGCGAAATCGAAACGTCAGCAAAGGTCGAGACTCGGGAGGATTTCGACCGTCGAAGTCGCGGATTCTGTTGTGATTTGACGGTCAGAATCCTCCCGAGCGAAATCCTCCCGTCGAAGTCGCGGATTTTGTCGCGATCATGACGGTCGCAGGTGCCGCACAACTCAGCAGGGATTGGCCAACGACGATTGGTTCGTGGGTTTCGTCTTAGCAGATGCTGTACCTCGCTAACAGTCGCTCCGCGCATTTTTGAACACACATGGCCTGAAACACTCAAATTCAAATTGCATTTTACATAACACATGGGCACTATATTTTCCGGGCCACTGTTAACACCCAGTAATTTTTTAGTGAATTTTTATATACACCATAGGGTGTTATATACGGGGGATTACGGTACCACAAGTTCTAAGCGCGTGTTCCTTCAAGCCTCTTCCTAGGCAACCCCTTCCCAGACTCACGCTCGACCTTGAGAGCGTGTTCTCAAGATCACTTTTCGGAATACTCCTGTTTCATATTTGCGTTCCACCGCTCTCAACTACATAAAACCAGCTGGCGTCGAAAATTTACAGTGCAGATTCGCGCTTGTCTCAAAATCTGCTCGTCTGAAAAGAGGTTTTAAAAAACGCCCCTGAATCTCGGGAATGCGAATGTCAGTTCGCACTTCGGGGAATTGCACTGAAACATTTCGCGTAAAAATTTGCAACACTGTAGCACGCGAGTCTGGGAAGAGGTTGCTTGGGAAGAGGCTGGTAGGAACACGCTCTAAGACTTCCGCTGTCTTACTAGTCTACCATTCCAACAAAGATCCTTGTTCAAGTCTTGAAGTATCACAAGGCTATAACACTGATTCTAGTGTTACAACTTGATAATACTGGCTGTTATTGGAGGTACTTCCAATATTACTTTCTACTTCAAGGTGTCTGCAAATCCTCTACTTAGTCTCCTGCACTACTTTTCAATTTCTTTCACAGGTAAGGTATCTACCACTCCCCATGGTTGAGCGCAAGATAACCTGCAAAGAGCCTCCCATTGGTGGATCTTAGTTCATCTATGAGCTGATTCCAGTTGGATGCAAGCACTCCCACGAAGTAGTCACATTCTGAAGACAGCAGCAGGTTGACAAAGCTGGCTCCAATCATGCGAGGGAGGTTGACACGCAAGTAGAGAGACATCTTTTCGTTCCCCCGCTGCCGTGGCAGTGTGGAATAGAAGAAGGTCCATTGATGAAACTGTTTAGATCCTGTTACAACACTCTGGTGGGATGGAAGGCACGGAGAGAGAACTGGGAAGTAAGTTGAGAGCACGTATGCAGGAAGTCAGCACCACCCACCTCCATCACCCACCCAACTCCATCTCTGTGCGGGTGCCCTCACCTCCATCTCTGTGCTGAGCCACACGTAGTGCAAGGCCGGATCCACGCGGCGAAAGCGGTTGGCCTCAAACACGTAAGAGGCCAAGGAAATTGCCCCCATCCATCTGCTCTTGTCGCCCTGTCGCACATGCACACTCACTATTGGTCGTGGCATATACACCTCCCAGCCTACTGCTGCCTCGATTGCACCTGATAGAAAGGCTAATTGTAGCAAACCACTGCTGCTGCTGCTGCTGCTGCTGCTGTTGCTTGTGTGACTGGTGCCATTCATTCTGCTGCTGCTACTGTGGCTGCTGCTGATTTCACTGGTTTCGTTGCGGTTGCTGCCATTGCTGGTGCAGCTGCTGGCCCATGTGGTCCCCACCTGTCCCAATCTCGAACCCTCTCCCAAGCCCTGCTGCCAAGTGCTTCCTTTCTGCAGGGAGCTCTGCCCTGACAAGTCAAACCCAAGTGCTTGAGCTGCAGCAAATGAGCTATTCACCAGCTGTTGCCGCCGGGCCACGGCTGATGCCACAGTGCGCGCCACATGCAGCCCGTACACCTGGTGGCGCTCGCGGTTGACGAGGTGGCAGAGGTGCGGCGAGGGCCAGCGGAGCATGAAGCGCACCGACTGGGCCTTCCACCACTTGAGCTGCCGGGGGGGGGGGGGGGGGGGGGGGGGGGGGGGGTGGGTAGGTGGGGGGAAGAGAAGGGACGGGGAAGGCCGGGAGGGGGACGAGGGGGGGAGAGATAGTAAGAGAGAGGGAGAAGGCAAAGGAAGCCGGGACGCATGAGAGGAGTGCACGACATGAGTGAGCAATGGCAGCTCGGGTGAAGGCACACATGACAGAAAACAGGTTGAGACAAAACGCGTGCGCAGTTCACCTGGAGTCACTTCACCCTCACAGCCTGACTTCAGACTCCACTGCCATGGCAGGGGCTGGAGGAGCTTAGAGGGCATGAGACACTTAGAAGCAGCTTAGCTGACTCACACCTGTCGAAAGTCTGCCAGCCAAATCAGGAGACACGAGCAAATGACCTCGGCTCGAGCCAAGCCAGCCCCGGGCTGCCCCTTGCTCATGCCTATGAGGGAGCATCGCAAGCATGGCACGGTGTCTTGTAAATTTCTCAGAACACCCTGAAAGGAAGTAATGGTCACCTGGAGCACGTGTCACCTTGCGAGTGTCGTCGTCAACAGCCAGCAGCTGTCCCATCACTTCAATGGTCGCCGAGCGTTCTCTGTATGCTGTGCCCCACAGGCTGCAGAGAGGGACAGGGAGAAGGGGAGAGGGAGAAGAGGAGAGGGAGAGGGAGTTTGAGAGGGAAAAGAGGAAGAGGGAGAGAGAGAGAGAGAGAGAGAGAGAGAGAGAGAGAGAGAGAGAGAGAGAGAGAGAGAGAGAGAGAGAGAGAGAGAGAGAGGGAGAGAGAGAGAGAGAGAGAGAGAGAGAGAGGACCACTGAACGGATTCCAGCAGGCGGCGAACAGGGCTTTAAGTGCCTCGGAACTGCAACGAACGACTGATGAGGAGGAACGGGCGGACGGAACCTATATACCAGGGAACCAGGGAGACCCCACGACTGAGACCTCCAGTGAGGCGGAACACGTCGAAGCAAACAGGCGCGCTGGAGGACGAGAGACTGACCCATCTCCAAGATCTAGGGGACGAGGGTCCAGCCGTTTGCACAATACTCGGGCACCGCTGGACACCCACCCCCAGGCAGCCCAGCAGTTGTCCCCGGAAGAACTGGCGAATGACCCCTCCAGATTCGCCGTCATCGCCACGTGGGACGTCGCAGTTCTCTGCGACAGTCGCCAACCCCCTCTCTCCCGCCGGTTACCCCCCCAAATCCGTCAACTTTTCGCGCTCACCCTCCTGACACCCCTCCTTTTCCTCGCCAAACATCCAACCTCCATCGAGGGTTGGACCCTGTTACTTTACCTCCCGCGCCTCACACTTCGCCTACCCTCGCCTCGACGCCCTGACTGGCCCGCGACGGAACGACGACTTCGACAATTTCTCGCGGGCCAGTGGGACACACTGTACCAAGCTGCTGCCTCGGCTGTCACCCTGCCACCCCCTCCCCGCCACGTACCTGACACTCTCGGGAAAATATCCCGCGCCGAGGGCTTGGTACGACGAGGCAGTTTGCGACGGGCACTGCTCGCGTTGACTTCGACCCCAGTCAGCAAGTCCACCCCCACGGTCCTGGACGCGCTGAAGTCAAAACACCCCCCTCCGCTTGTCGAAAGCCTCACCTGGCCACGGCTTGACGAAAACTGCAGGCCGCCGACAGTCGATTTCGCTACGTTCGCGAAGCTCCTCGCCCGCTCCGAAAATGGAGTTGGGGCAGGCCCCTCGGGGATGACCTTCGAGCACCTTCGCGACGCCTCGCTGTCCAACCCCGCCGTCGCCACAAACCTCCACAAGCTCGTCCAGCGGTTACTGGCGGGTAACCTGCCGCACGAGGTCAGCCAGCTCGTTACCTCCTCACGCCTCCTGGCCCTTACCAAGCCAGATGGGGGTACCCGCCCCATCGCAATAGGGGAGTGTCTCCATCGACTGGCGGCAAAAGCCGCGCTAATCTCCTCTACGCAATCCGCGCAAGACTACTTCCTACCACACCAATACGGAGTAGCCATCAGGAGCGGCGGGGAAACAATCATCCACGCCACCAGGGGTTTCACCTCTGCGCGCCCGGGCTCACTCATCCTACAAGTCGACCTCTCGAACGCCTTTAATAGCGTTGACCGTGGGGCAATCATCCACGCAATCAACACCTCGCCCCTCCGCCCGCTCCTTCCATTTATCCAATTCTCGTATGGCGCGCCGTCTCTGCTCTATCTCGACGCTGAGTTTGATAGCCCGCCCCTACTCAGCGCACGGGGAGTTCGCCAAGGGGATCCCATGGGCCCCCTCCTCTTCGCAGCAGCCATCCACCCAGCCCTCCAGGCAACCGCCGCGGCCCACCCCGAGGTCCTTTGCCTCGCATACGCTGACGACGTCACTTTCGTCGGCAACCCGGACGCCTGCACCTCGGCATTCCTCACCTTCACAGCCGCCATGGACCGCATCGGTCTCTCCCACAACCCCGCGAAATGCGCAGCATGGTCAGCCGAGCGCCCTGCACCCGACCGCCTTCCCCCAGACATACCTTTCAACACTGAAGGCGTCCGCGTGCTTGGCAGCTTTATAGGCACAACCGAGGGCACAGCCGCATTCCTCCGCACCCAGCTAGCCCTGCTAGCCGAACCCCTCGCCACACTGGCCACAATGGACCCTCAGTCCTCATCCCTCCTCCTCACACGCTGCGTGTCCCGGCGTGTCTCATACTTAACCCGCACCACCCCCCTTGACTTCCTACCCTTGGAAGTCTGGTCCGACTGGGGTAGGGAGCTCTTCCATACCCTCCTGCGTGCCTGCAACCTCCAACCGCCTCGAGGGGAGGTGGAGCAGGCGCGCACTTGGGCTCAAGCGTCCCTCCCTCCCTCCCTTGGAGGACTGGGTCTAACCGACCCCGCAATTGAGGGACACCCAGCCTACCTCACCAGCCTCACCCAAGCCCAGGGCCTCTTGGCTGCCCTCCCAGCAGCGTCAGGAGGGCCCCTGGCTGACGCTGTCCGGCACCTCACGCCACCTTTCACCAGCCCCACCCACTTGCATACCTGGCTGGCGAAGTGTGAAACGGCGATGCCCCCACGAGCCCGGGAGCTCCTGCACTCCGAGAGGAGGGAACCCTCCGGCTCCCCACTCCAACACCGCTTATCCCTCGAAGTCCAGGCCGTGCGATACGCCGGCCAGGTGGCAGCCACGCGGACAATGGACCCAAACCCACTCTCTGGGCACACCCAACGCCTCTTTTCCCTGGCTGGATATGGAGCAGGGGACTGGCTTCATGCCATCCCCATCTTCCCATCCCTCCGCCTCGAAGCTCCACACTTCGCCATTGCCCTGGCCTTCCGCCTCGGCCTTCCATTCCCAGCCCCCCGCACTTGCAACTGCGCCGAGGAATTTGAAATCCTCGACACTAGGCTGCCCAACCACCTGCTCCGGTGTGGCACCGGGCACGGTCGGACCGACACCCATAATGCCCTGCGGGACGAGAGCATACGGATGGCCCGGGACGCTGACTTTATAGTCACCAAGGAGACCACCATCTACAGCCCCGTAGACGGCCACAAGGCCGACCTCGCCCTCCGAGACCGCAGTTCCGGAGCCGTCTGGATCTGTGACGTCACTGTCACAGATCCCATCAGCAGCCGGGACCCGGATGCAAGAAAAGGACGCGGATACATGGCCCGGGAGCAAGCTGACAAGAAAATCTCCCATTACCGGAATCGGGCTCCGTATGTCGGATTTTTCCCACTTGCAGTCGAGACATACGGCTGCCCATGCGCCGAGGTCCCTACCTTCTTGAAGCTACTGGCTGACACAGGGGCCAGGAGACTTTTCAATGCGGACCCCAGCTCCTACCAGGCCGCAAAATTGCTCCACCAGTTTCGCCAACGCTGGTCAGTGACGCTGCAGCGGGCACAGGCCCTGGCTTACCTGGGGAAAGTTAATGAAGCCTCCCCTGCCCCCCACACCCCAGTGGGTACCCCTGACGCCGACATGGCACCCGGGGACTGCTTTGCCATAGCAGAGCCCCTAGGGGAGCTCGTGTAGTTTCGAGCCCCCAAACATGCACGTACCTTGCCCTGCTGCCCCTTGCCTGCCTTGCCTAGCCTGTACCCAGTTTTCCAAGCAATAAACGGACCGCTTGAGAGAGAGAGAGCAAGAGAGAGAGAGAGAGAGAGAGAGAGAGAGAGAGAGAGAGAGAGAGAGAGAGAGAGAGAGAGAGAGAGCGAGAGAGAGAGAGAGAGAGAGAGAGAGAGAGAGAGAGAGAGAGAGAGAGAGAGAGATCGCGAGAGAGATCGCGAGAGAGAGAACGAAATGAGAGAGAGAGAGAGAGAGAGAGAGAGAGAGAGAGAGAGAGAGAGAGAGAGAGAGAGAGAGAGAGAGAGAGAGAGAGAGAGAGCATGAGCCTTTCCTCAGCTATATAAGGCCCTCTCTCTCCCCATTCTCCTTGTTTAGTTTCCATCCATTCTCTTTTCCTCCTTGGTTTCGGCTCGCGCCGGCGGCCTTCGGCCGCGCCGTTAGGGGATGACAAGCAACAAGAATACAATATAGGACTCATAGGTAGTGGACAGCATTCGCCCGCGGGGCCTAGCCTAGGCATACACAAGCACCCATGGAGCACCTGATACGCCGTGCGGGGGCGCTCAGACTGCAGGACTCACCGCCCGGCCGCACCTACTCCCGCCGCTCTGCTAATCCGCGACAGCCGCCAGCCCGGCCTCCTCCAGCAATTCGGCCTGGTACGACAACAGGACCTGCAGCGTGGACACGGCGCCAGCTACAAGCCCTGCAGCTGACGCCGAGTCTATGCTCGCCGACACCTGGCGGAGAGCGGCGAGAAGGTGCGGGTCCGTGCCTGTTCCCCGGGCGGGCCCGGGCCGCGCGCGTGCGGCCTCCACAGCAAGATCTATGGCTGCTTCCATGCAGCCCTGAAGGGGGAAGTACGGGGCCATTGACCGGCCCCCTGAGCTCCCCAGCGCGGAGCTCGCCGACGCCAGAATCGTCAACAGTATCTCGGTCCCCCTCCGAGCATGCCCAAGGCGACGAAGTGTGGCGGCTGGGACCGTTATCCCCGCAGGAGCCGCCGTCAGCGGTCCCGCCGTCAGCGGGCTCCAACGCGTCGCCACCCCGGCCCCACGGGCACGACGGGGAGACCCCTCCCCTGGCGACTCCGCGCCCCCCGTCTCCGCTGCTTCTGCCCCCGCCTCTACACCCCGTGGAGATGGCGCCCGCCGCCGAGGGGGAACAAACGGACCGACCACACCCCCTCCGCGGTAGAGCCCCACCTGGGGATTGGACCACTCCGCCGCCCCAGCCCAGGACGAGGGGGGTCGCCACTCCGGGAGAGTATCGGCGGATAACGCGGGGCTGCCTCTCTGGGGCGCTGGCAGGGACTGATGGTGCAAGTCGTAGTACCCGGGGGGGAAGTGGACCGGCGCGTGCGAGGGCTGCGGGTGCGCGGCGGGGTGCTGGACAGTATACGGGCCCCCAGGCGGCACATGCTGTCGCGGAGGCGCCAGCGCGGATGGGTGCAGAGCCGTCGGAGGTGGCGGCGGGATTTGCAGGCTCGACCACTCACTTCCACGCGCTATCGCGGGACAGGGTTGCACGGGCCGCAGCTGAGAGGGAATCAACCCAACATGAGCCGGCTGGTCGGGGAGGGTCGGTGGACGATCTCGGGGAGGAAATGGAGGCTGCGTATGACAGGGGGGCTGCTGAGGGGGCTCCTGCTGCGGGGGCGAAGGGAGCAGCCCAGCGCCAGCCCGCTCGAGTATCCCCTCCAGCGTTGCGGCAGTCCGCGCCAGCCGCCTCTCCAGAGCGCACCCCCTTCGCCCCCGACGTGTGCCAGCTCGCCCCGAGGGGCCGTTTGGCGCACGCTGCTGTTGCGGAAGGGGCCGAGACGGCAGCACAGGGGGGGGGCGAGGGCCCGCCGCACGTGACACAGCAAGCGGCGACAACGCAGCAGGTGGACTTTGGCGGACCTCGGCGCCCGCCACCACAGCCCGCCCCTCCAGCCGAGGCGGCGTCGCCGCTCGCATCCGACCAGGGGACGCTGGCGCGCTCGTCGACGGCGCTGGGAGCCCGCGTGCCCACCGCCGGTCCGACTGAGGGGGGGAGCTCGACCGACCTCGGGGGAGGACGTTTTCCCCCGAACTCTCACGGTCAACAGAGCGCTCCCTGCGAGCGCGGCCGGCACGGAAGGCCATTCGACTCGCTGATGACCCCCAGAACCGGCACGGCGAGGCAGCGGGGCGAACGCCCGCCTACTCCACGCTCAGCTGCACGGGGCAGCGGCTCGCGGAGAGGACGCGGCGGCAGGGGGCGCGGACGCTCGCCTAGCCTGATGGCTAACGGCGGACCACTGAATGGCTTCCAACGGGCTGTGGGGAGGGCTTTAAGAGAAGAGGCAGCTGAAAACACGAATGCTGCTGAGGAACGTGCGGATGCTACTTATAGGCAGGAGGCACGGGAAGAGACTAGCACGGAGGACTCAGCTGAGGATGACGGGGGCGAAGGACCTGATCGAAGACAAAGGCAGGCGGGGCGGAATCAAAGGGAACAGCGGGCACCGCGTATGCGAAATTATCGGGACAACGAGGTACAACCCAACCTCCCTCCCCGCCAATTCTCGCCAGAAGACCTGGCGAATAATGAACCCCTTTTCACGGGGATCGCAAATTGGGACATCGGACGGCTTTGCGACAGTCGCCAGCCCCCACTTTCCCGTCGAATCCCCCCCAAACTACGCCAGCTTTTCGCCCTGGCGCTCCTGACACCTCTGCTCCACATCGCAAAAACCCTTCTAGCCTCGCGGGCTGGCGCCTGTTACTCTTCACACCCCGACTCACCCTTCGCCTCAATTCGCCGCGCCACCCAGATTGGCCAGCGATAGAGCGGAGGCTGCAGCAGTTCCTGACCGGCGAATGGGAATCGCTGTACCTGGCAGCAGCTGACGCGATACACAACCCACCTGTACCACGACACTCAGGAGACACCCTTGGCAAAATATCCCGCGCCGAGGGCCTCGTCCGTCGTGGCAGCCTCAGGCGTGCCCTCCTGGCACTGGACTCGACCCCGGTCAGCGAGTCAACGCCGGAGGTCCTCGCCGCACTGACCTCCAAACACCCCCCCCCTCTGACTGAGTCCCTTGACTGGCCTGCCCTCGACGAGTCTGAGCGACTCCCCTCCATCTCGCTGGCCAATTTCGTTCGGTTACTTAGCCGCAGCGAAAACGGAGTTGGCGCGGGACCGTCGGGCATGTGCTTCGAACACCTTCGCGACGCAGCCCTCGCGAACGCCTCAGTCGCCAGCAAACTGCACGGGGTAGCACAAATCCTCCTAAAAGGATCCACCACTCCAGAGGTAGCCGGGCTCCTCACAGCTAGCCGCCTGCTAGCGTTCCCGAAGCCAGAGGGGGGCACCCGCCCAATAGCAGTGGGCGAATGCCTCCACCGCCTAGTGGCGAAAGCGGGCCTCGCCGCCATGAACGAGCCCGCCCAAAGCCACTTCCTCCCACTGCAGTTCGGGGTGGCGGTAAGGGCCGGCGGCGAGGCGATAATCCATGGCGCGAGAGCTTTCGCCACGGAATCCCCGTCTGCCCTCCTGCTCCAACTTGACCTTTCTAACGCTTTCAACAGCGTCGACCGTGGGGCCATCATCACAACCCTCTATACCTCCCCGCTCCGCCCCCTCCTCCCCTTCGTACAACTCTCCTACGGCGCCCCCTCCACTCTTTTCTTGGACGCGGGCTTTGACAGCCAGCCCCTCCTCAGCGCCCGCGGCGTCAGGCAAGGGGACCCCATGGGACCTCTGCTCTTTGCCGCCGCCATGCATCCCGCCCTGCGAGAGACCGCCCAAGCGTTTCCCCGCGTCCCCTGCCTGGCATACGCCGACGACATCACCTTGATGGGGGAGCCGGCCGCATGCACAGCCGCATTCGCCCACCTCACCCACGCGCTCCTTCCTCTCGGCCTGACCCACAACCCGGCTAAGTGCGCAGCATGGTCCGCGGCCCATCCCCCCCCCGACTCCCTCCCCCCCGGGATCCCCTTCTGCGCCTCCGGGTTGCGGATCCTGGGCAGCCATATCGGTCCCCCAGATGCAGCAGCCAGCTTCCTGCGTGAGCAACTGGCCGCAATGGCCAAGCCACTGCCAACCCTGGCAGCCATGGACCCCCAGGCCGCCAGCCTCCTCCTCCACCGCTGCGTCTCTCGTCGGGTCTCCTAGCTGACTCGCACGACGCCGCTGAACCTGCTCCCAGCAAAGACTCAACAACACGAGGATACAACAACCACGGCACAAAGAGCCCACAAGCAGACACACCCGACAACTAACTCCAGCGACATGGAGAGCCTAATCCGCCGTACCGAGGCTCTTGCGCTGGTGAGCTCGTCTCCCACGCGCACGTACGTAAGGAGGGAGCTGGTCACACGAGCTGGTCCGCTCCCGCTTCTTCCAGCAGCGCCGTCACATAGCCCTCCAGGAGCTGGAGCGCTGACACGGCTCCGCCAACGATGTCTACAGCTGCAGCCGAATCTATGCTCGCCGACACTGCGCGCATCACGGCGAGCAGCTGGGGGTCCAACACTGTTCCCCGGGCGGGCGTAGGCTACACTCGCGTCGACATGACGGCGAGATCTGCTGCAGCCATCGCACAGCGATGAAGAGGATCATGGGGCATCCTGCACGGGCTCGCTAAGCCCCGTAGCACGGAGTGCGAGTCCGTCAGCATCCCCACAGCGATCCCCATCGCCCGCCGCGCGTGCCAGAGCCGGCGAAGCGTGGCGACTGGGACCGCCATCTCCACGTGGCGCTCCCGCCCTCGCTGCCGCTCCAACTGCACCCTCGGCGGCATCCGCAGCCTGCCCGGGCGGCGCTGCTCCGTTCCCTGACACGGAGAGCCCTCACCGGAGGACTCCGCCCCCCCCGTCTCCGCTGCTTCTGCCCCCCCCTCAACTCCAGTCGGCGAGCCCATCGCTCGTCGGGGGGGAACAAACGGTGTGGCAGCCCGCGAACCGAAGTACATCGGAGCCATCGGCTGCCGCTGGCCATCATACCAGCCCACCGCCGATGCCTCCAACAATGGTGGCTGCCAGTTCGGCAGTGTCCCCACGCTCGGCACACCTGCTGGAGCAGCCGGTGTGTTCGACGCGAGATGAAGGTGGGGTGGCTGCAGGGCCGGGTACCGGAGGACGGACGGAGGAAGCGGCGGAGGGTGCTGCTGGCAGGGCGGCGCCGGCTGCGCCACAGACACGGGCGGCGGAAGGGGTTGCAGCGGCGCTTGGGGCGTTACAGAATACGGAGGCTGCACTATCGCGGGCGGAAACTGCGGCGGGGGACATACGAGCGGGGGCTGAGACGGGGCTACCAACCGGAACAGGCTCTCCAGGGTCGCTGCGGCGCGACCCAGCTGCCTCTCCGCAGCCGAACCCCGGCCGTTGCCTCCACCGGCTCTCCAACCGCGGCGTGGGCCGGACTGCCCGCGCTGCCCCTGCGGCGTCCGGTGCTGCTGTGCAGGCATCCCCTGCGTCACGCGCTGGGGCGTCCCTTGGCGCAGGGGATCGGGCTGCGGCTGCTGCAGGCGGTGCGGCTGCGTCGACGCACTCTGCTGGCCACGGCCCGCACGCGCAACGGTCTTCCGCTCGCGGCGCCGTGGTGTTTCGTGGCGGCTTTCAGACCGCTGCGACATGCGCTCCGGGGTCCGCTGACGATTTGCCGAGGGGGCAAGAAGCCCCCGCTCCCAATCATGGTTTGACTGTGGCGGGGAGCTCGGCCGATCTCGGTGGAGGACACTCTCCCCAGTGCTCTCCGAATCGTAGGAGCGCTCGCGGTGGGGACGCTCCTCACCGTCCGCTCCACGAGGGGGATTCATCGTGGGCCCAACCGCCCCCTGCGGCCTCACCCGTGCGACGGACTGGACGGCGAGCGTCAGCTGGAGCGTCGGTGGGGCGCGGCGGAAGCAGGGAGGGCGGGACCAGGGGCCGGGGAAGTTGTGGGCGCGGGCGCGGGCGAGGACGGACAGGCGACTTGGCACGTGACGGTGGCCCGCTCAACGGCTTCCAGTAAGCTGCGAATCGGGCTTTAAGGGAGATGGGACTTAGGGAGGCAACTGATGAAGAAGAACGACGAGATGGTACATATATCCAGGAATCACACCCAGAGTCTACCTCTGAGGAGTCCAGTGACGCACTGGAGAGAAGGGCGCCCAGGCGGGTGGGGAGCGAGATTCGAAACCCCTCCCCCAGATCCAGGGGCCCCGGACAGGTGGGAGTACCCAATACCCGGACACCGCTGGATGCTCCCTCCCAGGCAGCCAGGCAACTTTCCCCGGAGGAGCTGGCTGGCGACGCCTCACGATTCGCCCAAATAGCCAGCTGGGATATCGCGGTGCTATGCGACAGTCGCCAGCCCCCTCTTTCAAGGCGACTACCCCCCCCTATTCGCCAGCTGTTCGCGCTAGCTCTGCTGACGCTCCTCCTTTTCCTCGCGAAAAATCCAACTTCAATCGAGGGCTGGCGTTTGTTACTCTTCCTCCCCCGCCTAACTCTTCGCATGTCCTCGCCCAAACGCCCGGACTGGGCCGCGATGGAAACTCGCCTGCAGCAGTTCCTCGCAGGCCAGTGGGACACCCTCTATCAGTCAGCCGCAGCAGCTGTCGCACTGCCTGCACCCCGTCGCCATATTCGCGACGACCTCGGGAAAAGTTCCCGAGCTGAGGGGCTGGTGCGACGTGGCAGTCTTCGCCGTGCCCTCCTTGCACTCCAGTCGACCCCAGTCTGCGAGTCAACCCCGGAGGTTCTTGACTCGCTGAAGTCCAAACACCCACGGCCGCTGACAGAGGACCTCACGTGGCCCTCCTTGGACGACGTCAACCCACCCGCGCTCGACTTCGCCGATTTCATTCGCCTACTTTCGCGAAGCGAGAATGGGGTGGGTGCCTGTCCTTCGGGGATGACATTCGCCTACTTCGCCCATGCCAGATGTGTCATGTGTCGTGCACTTAAACCATCTTGTGTGGCCAAGTGCCCAATGGCAATGGATACATGCGACGCCCGAATTTCACGGATGCTACCATGCCCCTGTCCTGTATCCTTGCACCGCCCTTCTCCACAGTTTCGCCGCATGATGGCAGCTGCCAACCCCCTTTGTGCCGACCCCGGGGTCATCCCGTGGCGGCACACAGTTGGGCGCGACTGCATCCGCCTTGCAGATCTTGCGAGTGCGATATTGAAGGAAGAGATCGCGGAGGCCAAGGGAGTCGGGATGATCAGCCTGACCACTGACATCTGGACAGGGGAGAACAGTCGTGGGTACATGGCTGTCACAGCCCATTGGCTCACGGCAGAGTTCGACCTCAGGCAGGGACTGCTTGAGTTCGTTGCACTACCGCCTAGCCACACGGCCCAGGTGATTTCGCAGGTGCTGGAGGCTGTAGCGCGCGACTGAGGACTAGAGGGGCGACTGATGGCAGTGACCCCGGACAACGCCGCTACCAACACTGCGGCGATGCGGTGGTTGTCTTGTGGCAAAGCTGGCGGGCGTGTTCCTCCTCTATTCAAGACGGGACTTCACATCCGGTGAGATTCGACACTCACCATACTCGGCGTTCAGCCTGTGGCGCTCGAACCTTTCCTTGCCAATGGCAGTCAGTCAGACCCTTCCTATTGTCTGCCCCTCCCTCCCCCTGATGCGCCTAAACCCCCTCCACCTTTACCCTACACCTTTTTCAGATGCCTTGCACACATATGCAATCTTGCAGTGCAGCAAGTGTTGAAGACTGTGGAGCCATGCAAGCTGCCCCTGGGGTTGCTGCGTGAGCTGGCTAGCTTCATCGGCTTCTCTACCAAGCAGACACCGCTGTTCGAGGATGAACAGCGACGCCAGTATCCAGACAGGCCTACCATCAAGCTGAAGCAGGACATGGAGGTGCGATGGGGCTCTACATACACCATGGTTGCGCGCGCCCTGCGCCTGCGCGAGGCGTTGGACGCCTTCGTTCGACGCTTCCCGGTAAGCACGTCTGTAGCTTTGTAAATATTCCATTAGTATGGTCCGTCCGTCCTCTTGTTAGTACTTGAACGGGCTGAACGCGCTGTTTGCAATGCACACTCCCACTCCCTTGTCTGTCTATTGTCAATTGCCCATACGCCCCCACTCCACATGCCTCCACCCGCAGGAGGCCCGCCAGGCGCAGCTTCGCATCACGCCCGAGCAGTGGTGCGTGCTTGAGGAACTGGCAGTGTTCCTGAAGCCGTTCCATTCCCTGACGCTCGCGGCCGAGGGCGGGCATTACCCCACCGTCAGTCGTGTGGTGCCACAGTTTAACGAGCTGATGGACACGCTCGAGCGTCTGCGCGACCGCCGTCTCCCCCCCCCCTCCACCTTCATGAAGGAGTGTTGCGAGGCAGCACTCCTGAAGCTGGAGGAGTACTATGCCTCCAGCAGCAACGAGCTATGTGTCGCCACATTCCTTGACCCCTCATTCAAGCTCGGCTACTTCGCCAAGCCACACGGTGGCATGTCTACGCGAGTGGTCAAGCAGGTGGAGCTCGGTGCGGTAGTTGCCTTGGTGCGCAAGGCATGGCATCCCTACATGAACAAGAATCGAGAGGCACAGGATGTGGCCGAGGGGTTTGGAGAAGAGGTGGGAGAAAGGGGGCGGGGCGAAGGTGGACGACGATGATGACGATGCAGCACTGGGGGCCGCCTTCAGCCTTCAGGGGGGGAGACGAGGAGGACAGCCTGGTGAGGCACCTAGCTGCCTACCGCAGCAAGCAATCCTTGGAGCTCAAGGACGAGGTCCAAGTGTACCTAGACGAGGCGATCCAGCCTTTGCGCGCCTCGCCGCTCGCGTATTGGCGGCGCAGGGTTGACCTGCCCGGCTTGCAGGCGATGGCCAGGGACTACCTTGCCATCCCCGCCTCCTCGGCGGCCAGCGAGCGAGCCTTTTCGCAGGGCCGCAACCTTATCACTTGGCAACGGCATCGGCTTGGGGCGGAGCGCGTTCGCGCATGCATGACCCTCAAGTCATGGATCGCGACGCACCCTGGCGAGCGGCTTGGCGGAGTGGGAGTCCAGGAGGTGGCAGAGTTGGGGGTGGAGCTTGAGGAGGGGTTGTGAGTTGGATGTTGTTCTGTTGGAAGCTTCGCCTTGGATTGGATGGCAGCATTAGGGACTAGTCGATGGACGTAGCAATAAGCTTTATCGCCATCGGTTTATTGATGTAGTGAACATCCTATCGCTTCTAGATGTTTACCTACATTTCTGACCAATTCCCAAAAAAAATTGCCAAAACGAGGCGAGGATTCCTCGCCCCCCTAAACCGAGGGTCGAGGAATTTTTTTCCCCAAAATTCCTCGGCGAGGAATCCTCGCCTCGCCTCGTTTGGGGGGCGATGGTTGGAATTCCTTGGCGAGGAATCCTCGCCTCGCCTCGTGCTCATGTCTAAATGCAAGGGGCGGTCCAATCACTCAGATCAGACGGCCAAGCAGTGCAACACACAGATGCCGTCCAGTCCAGGGGCGGTTCCATCTCGGCTGCCACTAGCTGCCTTCAAGGGCCATGCAAAGGTAACTGACCGTGCTGGTACTTGGCCATTTTTTAGGCGCCTCAAAAATAGACTCAGCTGCCACTAGCTGCCTTCAAGGGCCATGCAAGGGCAACTGACCTTGCCGGTACTTGGCCATGATGTCGTCCAGTCCAGGGGCTCATCCATCTCCGCTGCCCTGCCAGTGCTGCCACTGCTACCACTGCTGCCACTGCTGCCACTGCTGCCACTGCTGTCAGTGCTGTCAGTGCTGCCAGTGCTGCCAGTGCTGCTGCTAGCTGCCTCAGAGGAGCAGAGTACACAGCACACACTGACCTTGCCGGTACTTGGCCATGATGTCGTCCAGCGGCTCATCCATCTCAGCCGCCAGTGCTGTCAGCTCCGCCTGCCTCTCCTCCGCGCCCACCTCCGCTTCCTCCTGCATCATCTCCCTCTCGTACTCCTCCTGGTCACGGGATGTAGGGGTGGGGTTGGGTGTGTGCATGGGTGTGGGTGTGTTTGTGGGGGTGTGGGTGTGAGTGTGGGTGTGGGGGTGGGTGTGGGGGTGGGTGTGGTGGGTGTGGGTGTGGGGGTGGGTGTGGGTGTGGGGGTGAGTGTGCGCGGGCATGCATGCGCAAGAGCAATAAGAAGAGGGACTTTCTTCACCTCTGTGGCCTCCTGCATCATCTCCCTCTCCTACTCCTCCTGGCGATTGGGGGGACGAAGTATGTGTGGGTGTGGGGGTGGGTGGGGGTGGATGTGGGGGTGGGTGGGGGTGGGTGTGGGGGTGGGTGGGGGTGGGTGTGGGGGTGGGTGTGGGGGTGGGTGTGGGGGTGGGTGTGGGGGTGGGTGTGGGGGTGGGTGTGGGTGTGGGTGTGGGTGTGGGTGTGGGTGTGGGTGTGGGTGTGGGTGTGGGGGTGGGTGTGGGTGTGGGGGTGGGTGTGCGTGTGGGGGTGGGTGTGAGTGTGGGTGTGGGAGTGGGTGTGGGTGTGGTGGGTGTTGGGGTGTGGGTGCTGCGAAGGTGAGTGTGGGCAGGGGTGTGGGCGTGTGTGGTACGCATATACACAAGAAAAAGTATGGGCGGTGGCACCAGACTAGCGTTCTACATACATGCGCACTTCACGCATACCCTTCTCGTCATCCCTTTCTTCCGCCCTTTTCTCTCGACCCCCCCACACCCACACCTGAACCACCCACCCAACCCACCCCCTCCTTCCTCCATCCCCCCCCCCCAACCCACCCACGCCAGCACAGCCACCACCTCACCTGTCTGCGCTGCTCCTCAATCTCCTCATCACTCCCTTCTCTAAACTCCTCATCCATCCCTGCGTCCTCTTCCTCCTCCCACTCCCCATCCCCACCCACCAATGCCACACCTCCCTCCTCGTCCTCTTCCTCCTCTCCCACCTCCTCCTCCTCTTCATCCGCCTCCTCCTCTTCCTCCTCCTCCTCATATCTCTCCCCACCCTCCTCCTCCACCTCACTCTCCCCTTCCTCTTCAACCTCCACTCCCTCCATCTCCTCATCCTCACCCCCTCCTTCCTCCCTTTCCTCCCCCTCCTCCTCCACCTCCTCCTCTTCCTCCTCCTCCCCCTCCTCCCCTCCCTCCTCAACCCCCTCTTCGTCCTCCTCTTTGTCAGCAGCAAGGTTCTCGGCTAGAAGCGAGGAATACCTGCAAACGGGGCGGGAAAAACAGGCAAAAAACGATCACCACCACACCAATAACGCATCCGCAAACAGCAGTGCAACCTAGAAGGCAGCAATGCTTTGACAGCAATAGCAGGGGGTAATTTCTGACTAGAAATTTCGAAAAAGCGACAGCAAAAGCTGATCAGGGTGTTAAAATATCAGGGGAAAACATCAGCTCAGTCAGAAGCAACAGAGCAGAGCAGCAGCACGTCAGCCCTCTCTCAATTGGTCCGTTGTATTAGATAGATAGCGAGTGTGTCACACACACCATGACATGCCATACTGCTTGCTAGTGGTCCAGCCACAAACTACCATTCGTGCACAAGCCCAAAAGTGTGCTCATCCACATGCGCATGCCCCACACATGCATCCTGCAACCCTGCATCCGTAAGTGTCCTTGCGTGCATGTGCCTCCTTGCATGCATCTTCCTCCTGGCATGCATATGCACCTCTCAGTCTGCCCCAGGAGAAAGTCCAGGTGTTTGTCCAGGGCCTTCTTCTTCTTCTCCTCCACCTGCAGCTCGTGCTTGTACACCACCTGATGTGATGGGCGCACACACAGTAAGGGGGGGACGGAGCGCAGGGAGCAGCGGCACATGTGAACAGCCAAAAGGGTGTGAGTGTGTGAGATGCAGATAAGTACATGGGAAGAAGCGACCACGAATTTTTAAGTCCGCTCTGAAACCACCAGCTGGCAGCTGCGACTCGTGCTTGCCTGTATGTACACCACAAGGCGTGCACGCACACACATGCTTGCAGGAGGGAAATCCAAGGAAGTAACCACAGGAAGGGGATAAGTTGGGTTGGGGGTCCCACATGTCTCTTATCTTCATCCAAATCACTTCACCTCCTTCTCCGTCCTACCAGGTAACCAGGCACCTTTTGAGTCGACTCAAAAGTCACCTCTTCACCTCCTTCTCCGTCCTACCACTCGCCACCACCCTGCTTTTGAGTCGGCTCAGATCAGAAGCAGACTCTCATCACATGAGAGCAAACGCACACGCGGTTCTAAGATGGATCAGGCACATGAGATCAAACGCACACCCACCACCAGCTTCTCGATCTTCATCCAGAACCGCTTCACCTCCTTGGCTATGCCATTCACTCGCCACCCACGCTGCTTTTGAGCCGGCTCAAAGGCAGCCTCAATACACGCGGTAAATTCTACCCAATAAGGCACATGAGAGAAGGGCACCCACCAGCTTCTCGATCTTCATCCAGAACCGCTTCACCTCCTTGGCTATGCCGCTCGCCACCCGCCGCACGCGCTGCTCCTCCTCCTGCCAGCCACCAGCCACCGGCAACACAGGACGAGAGCCACGGGAACAATGCAAGGGTTTGAGCAGCAGCATAGTGCCTGCCACACGTGCCGTGCACCATGCTCGAGTCCTCTTGTTCTTCTTATGAAACGACCAATCCAGGGCCTGTCGCTTAGCTGCCCAATCACTCCCATCTTTGACCTGCTTACAAGGCCAACCATCTTATCTGAGCCAACTAGTTTTGAGGCGCCTAGTTTTGAGGTGCCTAGTTTTGAGTGCCTAGTTTTGAGTGCCTAGTTTTGAGTGCCTAGTTTTGAGTGCCTAGTTTTGAGGTGCCTAGTTTTAAGGCGCCTAGTTTTGATTCGCCTCAAAACTAAACTCCCATTTTTGACCTGCTTACAAGGTCAACCTTCTTACCTGAGCCAACTCAAAACCTCAACTCTGAGCGAAGTCTCTTGGGCAACTCCATGTTTCCTGACGATCCTCCTAGGATGGGAGTCTCACTCACCTAGACTTGTCTTCAACTCCAACTCCAACTCCAACTAGCTGCAGCCTGGAACAGTACGGTAGTACACATGTGCCACTTCCTTTCCCTAACACCCTAGATTCCACTTATCCCCTCACCCTGACTGACTCCTCTCCTCCCCTGCTTCTCTCTCTCCCAGCTGCCTCAGCTCTCCCACCTCGAGTTTCCTCTCCCCCCAGACGCTCCAGATCCACACACGCACTCCTGTCTTCCTCTTCCCTTGCTTCCACTTATCCCCTCACCCAGACTCCCTTCCTCCCCTACACCGTTCTGTGAGTGCCTTGCGCGTCTGTACTCAGCTATCTCACCTTGAGTTTGCGCTCCCCCCCAAGCTTCAGCTCCATTCTTCCACGGCACAGACACACCCACTCCTGTCGTCCTCTCCCCGTGCTTCCACACATCCCCTTACCCAGACTCTTCTCCTCGCCTTTATCGTTCCACGCCACCCCTCAGCGCTCTCACCTTGAGTTTGCGCTCCCCCCGGAGCTCCAGGTCCATTCTCCCCCGGCAAACACTTGCGCTTGTCTTCCTCGCCCTTACTTTCACTCATCCCCTCATCCTGACTCCATCCCTCCCCTATGACGTTCTTCCTCTCAATTGTCTTGCGCGTCTGTACTCAGCGCTCTCACCTTGAGTTTGCGCTCCCCCCGGAGCTCCAGGTCCATTCTCCCCCGGCACACACGCGCGCCTGTCTTCCTCGCCTGACCCGCCTTCCATCGCCGCTCCTTGTCAAAATCCTAATATGCAACAGAGGGGTAATGGGAAGGAAGAGGGTCGGAGCAGGAAAGGAGGGGATTAGGGAGGAGGGGGTGGCTTTTGAGTCAACTCAAAAGACTTCCTCGCCCGACCTGCCTTCCACCGCCGCTTCTTGTCAGAATCCTACACGCAATGGAAGAGAGGGTGACTTTTGAGTCGACTCAAAAGTCATCTAGAGAGGGAGACGATGTGAAAGCAGGCACGGTGCACCTATTCAGTCGAGCTCAAGTGTGGGCCGTGGGCCGTGGGCCGTGGCTCCATGTGGAAGTCAGTCCTGCACAGAAATCACATGAAATGCACTCCCAGATAGGAGGGATCAGACAGTGAAGTCTGAGTCGACTCAATAATCACCTAAGGTAGTGCTGCTGCCGTCACAGATCGGACGGAGAAGCAGAAGGTGAACCTTGAGTGAGTAGAGGAGCTACCTACACTGCCTGATCCCTCCCGAAATCACCTGCCTGCACTGCACAGATGGGAGGGAGGGCAAGTCGGTAGAGCAGCAGACTCTAAACAGCTGGCTGCATCCCTGGTGAACCGTGAAACTAGACATGAGCGTATCGCATCGCATATCGCATTATCCCATCGCAAATATCGCATTTTTGCGATTGCGATTATTTTTCCCCAGAAAATTATATCGCGCGATGCGATGCGATGTGATATTTATCGCGCAATATTTTTCATCGCATTTTTACCGCGCCATGTGTCGTGCGATAAAAATGCGATATGCGATATTATTAATCACAGCGCGAAATTTTGCCAGGGTTGTGTCGAATTTCCGCACTGTTCTTTTCCGCCTGGTCAAATAATTGATTTTTTTTCCACATGCAGTAAATGCGATGCGATATATCATCGCATCGCACGATATATCGCACTAACATAGCGACATTACTATTTATCGCACCCAAAATGCGATATGCGATCCCAAAATCAGGAACATTAATCGCGCGATGTGATATTTTATCGCATGCGATAAAATAACATGCGATGCGATTAAATATCGCATCGCATTTTGCTCATGTCTACGTGAAACCCCTAGCTGACTGCATTGTACGCACCAGCTCTGAAATTCATGCCATCTCAACCAGCCACTCCACAACCCCACACCCACATGCACGGAACCAATAAGCCCCCCCCCCCCCCCCCCTCTCTCCCCCCTCTCCCCCCTCTCTCCCCTTCTCTCCCCTTCTCTCCCCATTGCCCCCTTCCCCTCTTTCCGCACAGTACCTTAGCCAGCCATGCCATCTCGTCCAGCAGTGCGTCTCAGTGCGCCCTCGCCTGCACTGGCTGCTGCTGCTTCCGACACCCTTTCACAACCCCACATGCACATCCCAAACAACACTAACCATCCGCCCCTCCCCCGTACTTAGCATTCACACATACCATGGCCGACCATGCCATCTCGTCCAGCAGTGCATCCCAGTGCGCCCTCGCCTGCACTGCCTCCGGCAGCTCTCTAGGCACTTCACAAATTAACGCGTGCATACGATACAAAAAGAGCAGCAAGCACTCCCCCTTCTGCCACAGTACCTTAGCCAGCCATGCCATCTCGTCCAGCAGCGCGTCCCAGTGCGCCTTCGCATGCACCGGCTCCTGCTGTGGCTTCGGCACCCGGCGGTTTATACCCGCCTTGCGCCGCCGCTGCAGGCGCGGGGGGAGATGGGGGGAAGAGAGGGGGGGGGGGGGGAGGGGGGGGGTGTTTTTTACAATTCTAAAAAACACCCGGCAAAATCAACGGCTTCGGCACCCAGCGGTTGATACCCGCCTTGCACCACCGCTGCAGGTGCCGTGGGGAGGAAGGGGGGAGGGGGGAAGAGAAGGGGGAGGGGAAGGAGAGAGGCAGGAGGGGGAGGAGAGGGGAAGAACTGGATGAGATGAGATGAGATGAGATGAGATGAGATGAGATGAGATGAGATGAGGGAGCGACACAACAGGTTCACAGGAACCATATCAATGCGTAAGATTCGATGAGAGAAATGAGAAATGAAAGATTCATCCCTCCTTAATCCACTCAAGAAAGCGCTTCTTTATTCTTCCCTCCTTGACTCTCACCTCTCGTGCATCTATCATATGGAGGTACTTAGCAAGCACCGAGGCGAGTCCTCCTCGTTCATGCGCTGCTTTCTGGTGGTGTGTACCTCAGCAAACGAATTTCAAAATGTGCTTCTTAATCCTCCGCTTCTCACCTCTCGTGCATCCTTGACTCGGAGGTACTTAGCAAGCACCGAGTCCTCTTGGTCAATGCGCTGCTGCCTCTCCTCCTCCGTCTCCTCCCTCTGCGGACGCACGTCTTCCTCGTCTTCCTCTTCCTCATCCTCCTCATCTTCATCTTCGTCCTCTTCCTCTTCCTCCTCATCCTTATCCTCATCATCCTCCTCCTCCTCCTCCTCTTCCTGACTCTCTGCTCCAATCACCCTCCCCTCTTCATCTTCCTCCTCCTCTGCGTCCTCTCCCTCCTCGTCCTCGTCGCCATCATCATCATCCTCGTCCCCTTTACCCACGTCCTCAACCTCCATACTCTCTCCATCCGAGCCTCCTTCCGTCACAGCATCACCATCCCCATCCCCACCACCATCACCATCACCATGCCCACCACCACCATCCCCATCCCCGTCCACAGCAACCACATCATCCTCGCTATCCACCTCTCTCCAGCCCCTCCTTCCACTCCCCCCTCGCTTCCGGAACTCTGGCTCACTTCGCCCATCCTTCCCACCTCGTTCCTCCTTCAAAGCGCCTTCCTTCCTTGCTCTTTGTCCACCCTTCCAACTCCCACCCTTCCCACTCCCACCCTTCCCACTCCCACCCTTCCCAGCGAGCTCAATCCTCCAACCACTCCCACCAGCCCCAGTGCTACCCTCACCCATCTTCACAAACCTTCCCCCCTTCCCCCTCTTCTGCGCCTTCCTTGCTGGCCCTATAGACTTCCTCGCCTTAGCCCCGCTCCTCTTCTTCTTCTTGCCCCTCACTCCACCCTCCTCCCCCTCCGCTTCCCCACCCCTCCCATCATAATACCCAGCGGCATCCACTCCTCTTAAGCTGCTTGTTATCCCTCCCTTGCCCACAATATCCTCCCTCCCACCACCACCCCCTTCCTCCATTTCCATGCTCTTTCTCTCCATCGGCTTCGCTTCGCGTCTCTCTTCCCCTTCCTCATGCCCAACCTCCTCTCTCTCCTTTCCATCACTACTCTCTTCTCCTTTCCTTCCCTCCTCTCCCTCCCCTTCCTCCCCTTCTTCCTCATCCCCCCCTTCCTCCCCTCCTCCCTTCATGCACCGCTCCCAGAACCCCTCGTCTTCCAGCTCATCCACAACAGGCGAAAGCTCTCTCTCCTGCCGCAACAGCTGCAACTGCCGCAACACACCCTCCACACCACCACCACCAGCGACAGCAGCAGCAGAACCATCAGCACCAGGAGAACCAGCAGCAGCAGCGCGTGCCATACCCACTCCTTCCCTGGATTCACTCACAGCAGTGGCAGCTCCTGTCTTGCCCTCCTGCCCTCGGCTGCTTCCTAGCAGTACCACAGACCGCCTGGGTCGTAGCCTATCCGCCACCCTCTCCTCCTCTTTCTCCTCCCTACCCCCCTCTTCCTTCACCTCTTCTCCATTCTGTCCTCCCCTCACAATCTCTTCCACCCTCTCTTCAATCCCATGCTCCGAGCGCCCTCGTTCACCCCTTCCCCTCTCCCTCCCGGGCTCCCTACTGCCCCCTCTCCCAGCACCTGCTGCTCTCCCCACCTCCCGTCCCCTCCCTCGCCCCCCTCGCCCGCCTCGCCCCCCTCGCCTCCCCCCACGCCCTGCTCCTCCCGTCCGAGCATCCTCAGCTGAATTCCCAACATCTCCGCATCTACCTCTTCCTCCTCCTTCACCTGCTGCACCCCCTTGCTTCTCCTCCTTCCCTCCGTGCTCGTCAGCCTCTTCCGCCCCTTCCTCCTCCTCCTCCTCCTCCTCCTCCTCCTCCTCCTCCTCCCCGTCTTCCCCTTCATCATCTGCTGCTGCCCCTTCTTGTGACAGCAGCGCCTGAGCCTGCAGCCAGCTCACACTCATCAGCCCCTTTCCTGAAACCCCATCTCTTCCGGCCCCCCCTTCTTCCCGACCCTCACCTCCTGATCCTCCTCCTCCTCCTTCCGCCCATCTCCCTGTCGCTGCTGGTCCACCCATCAACCCTTCCCTCTCAACATCTTCCTTCACATCCGCCATTCCCGGATCACCAAGGCAGAAGTCAGCACTCTCTACCCCATCATCCACCTTCGACTCCTCTGCACTCATCCCCCCCTCCTCCTCTTTCTCTCCCACTTCTTCCCCTTCCGCCATCACACCATCACTCCCACCAACCCTCCCCTGTAAACCAACCCCATGCTCCTTCAGTATCTTCGCCTCTTCCTCTGCTTCACCACCATCCTCCCTCCATCCCGCCCCTGTTCTTCTCCCTGCCCCTCTCCCTCCTCCCCTGCCTGCCCCCCTACCCCCTACTCGAGTTCGCTGCATCTGCATCTGCCCTCCAAACCCCAACTCTACACTTCCCCCTTCCACTCTCTCTTCTCCCTTCTCTCTGACTCCCTCCTCTGCGCTCTCTCTAGCACCTTCTCCCACCGTCTCCCCTCCCTGCGGTACTCCCTCCTCCCTGCTACCTCCCTCGTCTCCTGTCCGTTCCATCACCACATCGCTTGTCTCATGCACACCTCCCATGCCTCCCATGCCTCCCATTCCTCCCATTCCTCCCCTTCCTCCCGTCCCTCCCACCCCTCCAGTCACTCCCGTCCCCCTCACACCTCCCATCGCTCTTGCCCCTCCCGCGTCTCCCGCGTCTCCCGCTTCCCCCCCTTCGTCCACATCAACCATTTCCACATCGTCTTTCGCTGATTCTGTCACCACACCTACCCCGGCAGTGCCACCCACAGCCCACTGCTGCCCCATCTCACCACCCTCCTGCACCTCCTCCTCCTTCCCTGCACCTTCAAGCCCTGGCACCTCACCTGCTCCCTCCGCCTCCACCACCTCTCCCCATTCGCCTTCCCCGCGTCCCCCCTTGCTGATGCTCTCCCCCCCTGCACTCCCCCCCTTCTCCCCCTCCCCCTCCCTCTCCCCCTCCCCCTGCCCCTTCCCCTGCCTCTGCCCGCTTTCCCTGCTATTTGCTGCATGCCAGTAACAGTAACAGCAGATGCAGCAGCATCTGTTGCGTCTCCTGCTTTACCGGTAGTCTGATCATCATCAGAAGTATCACCAGCAACATCACGAACACCACCACCAGCAGCAGCAGCCGCAGCCATAGCAGCTGCAGCAGCAGCAGCATGCTCATCATCACCAGCAGCAGCAGCAATCACAGCCGCAGCAGCAGCAGCAACATCATCATCCCCACCACCAGCAGCAATAGCACCAGCAGCAATAGCAGCAGCAGCAGCAACAGCAAGATCACCAGCACCAGCCGCAGCAATAGCAGCAGCAGAAGCAGCAGCAACAGCACCATCACCACCATCACCAGCAGCAGCAGCAGCTGGATCTCGCCTTCTACCTCCAGATGGATTTCTCGCCCCGCTCCTCCTCATACGTGCGCGGCTATCAATCCCCTGGATCCTCCTCTCACCTACCGCCTTGGCCCTCTCCTCCTCCTCTTCCTCCTGCTGCTGCCCCTCCTCCATTTCCAGCACACTCCCTGCTCCTGATCCCCCCCCTTCCCCCTTCGCCTGGCCTCCTCTCCCCACAGCTTGCCCTCTCCCTCTCAACTTCCGTTTGTGCCTCCCTCTCCACCTGTTTGCCTTCTCCCTTCCATCCTCCTCACTGCCTCCCTCCTCTTCCTCCTCCTCGCCCTCCTCCTCTTCGTCCTCTGCCTCCTCCACATCCTCTTCCTCCTCCTCTTCACCTCGTCCCTCTACCTCACGCTCTCTCCTCTCTCCCCCACCACTCCTCACCTCCTGGACCTCCTCTTCCTCCTCACTCGCCTCCTCCCCTTCACTCTCCACTTTCCTTTCAGCAACATCCGCCTCCTCCCCTTCCTCCTCCTCCTCCTCCCCGTCATCATCAGCAGCAGCACCACCCTCACTCTCCCCTCCACCTCTCCCTCCCTCCTCCTCACCACTCGGAATCAACCAAACGTCCCCCTCATCCCCCCTGTCACTCCCTTCCCCCGCAATCTCCCCTTCTCCGGCCTCTCCTTCCCCCTGGAACGACCCATCTCTGTCTTCCGCTTCCCCTTTCCCTTTCCCCATCCGACGTTGCTTCCGCACTACCCTTGCCCCCCACCTCCCTCCAGTCTTCCCGCGCCCCCCTCGCTCCCTCCCCCGGCCTCTCCTCTCCCCTCCCCTATCGCCCCTCACATCCCTTCTTCCACCTCCCCAACGCCCCTCCCCCACCACCTCACTCCATCTGCGCATTCTCAGCCTAGCCCCTTTCAAGTCGTCCACACCCGCATCGACACTCACTCCTCCCTCACCACTCATTCCACCCTCATCAATCACCCCACCCTCCCCAGTCACCCCTCCCTCCACCCCTCTCTGACTCTTCTCACCCCCTTGCTTTCGAGAAACCCCCCCGGCAACCTTCCCCATACTCTCACTCTCGCTCTCACTCTCACTCTCACTCCCACTGCCACTCCCACTCTCCTCCTCCCCGTTCCCACCACCGACCCCATCATCCCCTCTCTTGCTCGTGTTTCCCTCGACAACCACCTCGCACACATCCCCCTCACTCACCAAACCCCCCTTCGCACGCTCAACCTCTTTCGCCTTCTCTTTAAGCTCACCTGCATCTACAGTCACAGCCTCTCTAACTCCCTCCTCCATCCCTCCTGCCTGCCCCTGTCCCCGCGCTCCTTTCACCTCTCCCCCTCGCTGCCCCTCTGTTCCCCCCTGCCCCTCTCTTTCTCTTTGCCCCTCAATCCTCGCACACACACCAATTCTGGTGCCGTCTCCTCGCTTCCTCAGCAGCAGGTCTTGAGCGCTCAAGCCTTCAACGCTCCTCATTTCCTTCTTTTCCCCTTCCTCTACACCATCTCCCTTTCCCCGGCCCTCCTGCTTAACTGTCTTGCTCTTCTCTTTCTCTTTCTCTTTCTCTTTCTCTTTCTCGTTCTCTTTCTCTTTCTCTTTCTCTGCCTGTTTCTGTATCTCCTCCTCTCTCCCTTCTTTCTTCTCTCCCACCTCCTTCACCCCCCCAGCTTCCAACACGCCTCTCCCTTTCATCCTACCTCCTCTCCTCCCCGTCGCCTCTTTCCCCACGTGTCCTTCGCCCTCCTCTGCCTCTCCTTCACTCCCCACCAAATCCACAGTCCCTTCCTCCGCCTCAGCCCCGGCCTCCTCCTCTTCCTCCTCCTCCTTCTCTTCTTCCTCCTTCTTCTCCTCTTCATTTTCTTCCTCCTCTTCCTCCTCTTCCTCCTCTTCCTCCTCCTTTACCCCCCTCCCCTGCCCCCTTCCCCGCCCTCCTGCCCCTCTGCGCCCCCATCGTCCTCTGCCTCTCACGCTGCCTCGCCCCCTCCCTCGCATGCCGCCCACCCCCCGCCCCTGACCTCCTCTCGCCACCACAGTTCCCCCTCTCCCTCCTCTGCCCCTCCCCCTTGTTCCTCTGCCAACAGCGCCTCTACTGGCTCCCCTCTCCGCCCACGCCTCCCCTTCACCTTCTCTCTCCTCCTCACTCTCCACCCCTCCCCTCGCATCCTCACTCTCCTTCCGACCACCCTTCCCCGCTCCCCTCCCTGCTCTCCCCCCTGCCGCCATGTCGCCCTCTGTGGATAGTTCCCCTCCGCCCCTCTCCGCCGTTCTTCCCCCTCCCCTTCCCCCTCCCCCGCTGAAGCGCCGCATGTTCCGCCGGCCCTCCCATCCCTCCAAATCCAGGCTCCCCCCTTCGCCCGGGCTGCTTCCGCCGCCCTTTCCGCCCGAGTCAAGCAGCGCGTCCAGCTCCCGCCTCCCGCGCTTCCTCCGCGCACTGCCTCCTGCGGAGGTGGGGGAGGCGGACACAGCCGCGCCTGCGCCGCCCGCAGCAGCTGTGGTCCCCCCCGCGCCCGTCAGATCCACAACTCCGCCAGCCGTTCCACGCGGAGAGGCTTCTATCGTGGACGGCGAGCCATGGTCACGCTGCTGCCGCGACTGCTGCCGCGACTGCAGCCGCGCACCGCGGGAACTTTCTCCCGACCCCGGGGGTTGCGGCGACGGGTCGCCGCCGGATGATATATTGGCGGCGGCCGCCGCAGCCGCCCTTCGCCGAGATGGTGACGGGTCGCCTGCAGCCGGTGCCGGCGACGGCCGCATGACCACTCACTGCATGCCACGTGTTTGCAGGCTGAAGGATGACGGAATCTGCGAGAAGATCCGTTAGGACGGCGTAGGGAGGGAGATAAAGCTCAGACTAGTCCGGAAGGAGAAGCTGGGCCGCACTAGCCGTTTCGCGCGGGAGCAAAGATCGACGGGGCAGAGTAACCGCGACGTGGTAAGAGAATTATTTTAGGAGCAGCGGTCATCAAGCTCCGGAGATGAGCCGGACGACCCCGGGAAAAAAAAAATTCGCCACTTACGATCCGAGTGCTATCAGGAGGCTACGATGCGGAAAAATCGCGGACGCAACAGCGAAAAAAAATATCGCGACGCAACGTGAAAATTAAGGCCGCGGAACGCTATTCTAAGCGCTTAAGATGCATTTGTAAGCCACGGAATCTTGAAGGAACGATGCTGCTCGAGTGTGTCAGTCTAAGTGACCAAGCGTCCGAATGTCGAGAGAAAACTGTCGAGCGGGAGCCAGAGGGGGTTGGCTCGCCTAAGGCGGCTGTCTTGTTGATCAGCTCACATGCTTTGATTCGAAGCACCGAACAAGGTGGTGACGAGGGGTCGACAAGAAACAACGCGGTTACACTGAATATAGAACTGCGGAACTTAGCTAAATACCGATACTTTCCTGAACTAGGTAATAATTTTTTGCTCCGTGTCTACCAGAAACAGAAGCAATGACCCCGAGTCTGGTTGGATGAGCCCAATGAGTCAGCGTCGTGTTTTTGGATCTTGGGGAGGGTTAGGGTTTGGGACAGTGTATGTGCCACTCACATCTACATCCCTACTCATGCCTGACTTTGTCGAGACGTTTGACGAGAAGGGTAACTCGATAGCGAAAACTAACGACCTGCAAGGTGTCGTGTGGTTGGCTTGGGGAAGGGAGCAGGTTGCTTGGCGCGTGGGCGGGCATTGGGACGTGGCAGTCTGACAGGCACCTTGATGTGCTCATTGCACCTTGTAACGAGCGTGTGCCTGTAAGCGAGTGACAGCGAGCCAACTGAGCTGATCTGCGCGAAAAGCAGCCCCATCACCACACCACCCCACCACTTGGCTCTCCATGTCTCCTGAAGTGCCGAAACCACTGCCCGAATTCCCTCGAATTGTACGATGCAGTGCTGCTATATTTCGCGGTACGGAGGGTTGCAGTGCGGTGCTTCAATCGTCACAAGAACACCCACGTTTTTGTTCAGGGAAGCCCCTCAACTCAACACTCCCCCCCAAAGCTCAGCAGAACTCAGAGCGTGTCCCGCGCGTACGTTTCTGGCTCAATACCCTACCTAACCGTTCCTCATCGTTATTTGAACCTTCTGACTCGGAGAGCATCTCATCTAACCGCAATGAAACGTGCGCGAGCGGACACGCCCTCCACACACCAGCATACCCCAACGATACACCCAACCACTTCCCCTCTTTTGTCTGTCACGCTCCAGCCTCTGATCACTCGGACGCCTGGCGCGAGCTTACCCATTTCGCCGTCGCGCCGCTCCCTCTGTTTCACCGAGATTGTCTAGTATCCCTCAGTGAACGGCTTACGTACTTCCGACTCATTTACCACTGATTGAGCCGTCTCGTTTCCGTCCGCATTAGTGAGTCTCTGATTGTTGGTTATTGCTGAACCGTCGGCTGCTGCTACTGAACATTCGCCGAACCATGGATCGACTTGCCGCCACCCTACCGGCTCACAAGAGCCCATTCCTTTCCGCCGGCATTCCGCTCCGCACGCGCGCGGTAACACAACCCCCTCGCGCGGCCTCCCCCTCCGCGCTCCCCCCGATCTCCAACATCTTCTTCCTCCGCCCGCCGCCTCCCCCGCCGCCGCCGCCGCAGGAGCCGAGCACGGGGAAGATTCCCGCGCCGGGGCGGTACGGCGGGCCGCCGCTGGACAAGCGAATCCGGCAGTCGTGGGGGGGGAAGAAGGAGGACCCGCTGGAGTCGGGCGAGTATATCTGGAACACGGAGTGGAAGAAAACTGTCACGGTGGAGGACGCTGAGAAGGACAAGGTCCGTGGTGTCGAGTGGTGCAGTGTGGTGTAGCGTCGTGTAGGGTGGTGTAGTGCGGCGTAGCGTGGTGTAGTGCGGTGTAGCGTTGTTTAGTGCGGTGAAGCGTAGTGTAGCGTAGCAGAGTGTAGTGCAGTGCAGTGTAATGCAATGTCGCGTCTCGATAGGGCATGGCGTCGTGTCTCGATGGGAACGAACGGCTGGTTGCTGCGGGGAAGAGGGGGCTGTAGCGCCGCAGATATGCGGGTACGGGTAGTGCAGGCATAGGAGACAAAAGGACCGACGCTGCAGAGTACCCTCCTCGCTTCTTCCACTGCACTCTTCCCCACCCCCGTGTCTCCCTCTCTTTCTCTCCACCCCCCACACCACCCCCTCCCCCTCCCCCCCCGCTCCCCCAGGCGGCAGCGGTGGACCCCATAGCAGGAGCCGTGTCGTCCAATGACCCCGGCCCCTCCGATGGCTTCCTCTCCCTCGGCCGCTCGCTTGCTCTCGACAGGTCACTCCCGCCTCTCTCTCTGTCCCTTTCCTCCTCCCCCCCCCCCTTTCTTCGCCCCCTTCCCCCGCGCCCCTCCCCCGTGCGATCCCTCACCATGCACCATGCTTCTCGTGTGTTAGTAATTTCGGTTTGAGACGTCTCAAAACGTTCCCTCACCATGCACCATGCTTCTCGCCCTCTTGGCACCATCCGCTCAGCAATCCGCCCGTTTTGCCCTATATCCGCTCATCCCTTGTCCAAATCCACCGTGTTTCCGCCCTTTCATCTGTTGCTTCTCTCCTCCTTAGCTGTATGCCCGCTTCCTCCGCCTCCTCCTTTCATCATGTCAGTTGTTCCGCCATGCCATGCTCCTCCCATGCCTGCGCTATTCAATCTCCAAACTGCTCGGCGTCACACACTGCACGGCGTCACACCCTACACGGCGTCACACCCTACACGGCGTCACACACTGCATCTGCATGGCTGTAACCTGCCTCACACCTGGAAGCCGAGCAAGGCCACGCTGGAGAAGCTTGCTTTTGAGGCGCCTCAAGGCATACCTCGCCTAACACTGCTCCCTGCTCCCCTCCGCTCATTAACCCCACGCCATCCCTCACCATCGCATATGCGTGGCAGCATGGACGTGGATTTGAGTGCGCAGCTGAGCTGAGAAAGCCCAGCAGAAAGGCCACGCTGGATACGCTTGCCACTGACTGAGGCGCCTAAAAGCCACACAGTGCCTCGCCTCACACTGCCCCCCTCCCCTCATTAATCCCACCCACACCACCCCTCACCATCGCACACCATCCCACACTATCGCACATCACCTGCAGCATGGACGTGGATCTGAGCGCGGAGCTGAGCAAGCCCAGCAAGGCCACGCTGGAGAAGCAGGTGGCGGCAGCCAGACGCGCAGCAGGCATGCAGGTGGGGCAGGGGGATGAGGCAGGGGGATGAGGCAGGGGGATGAGGCAGGGGGATGAGGCAGGGGGATGAGGCAGGGGGATGGGGCAGGGAGATGGGGCAGGGAGATGGGGCAGGGGGATGGGGCAGATCGCAGGGGGGTGGGGCAGGGGGAATGGGGCAGGGCAGGGGGATGGGGCAGGGGTATATGGGAGTTCTGAGGGGATACATACATGCGTGCAGGGAGGAAGAGGGTTGATGGAGGGAGATGGCGAAATGGGTACATCGTACTGGAGTAAAGAAACGAGGATGGGAGGAGTGGATGGCTGGGGCAATTTGCAGGGAAAGGGAGGAGGGGTAGGAAAGGGAAGGAAAAGGGGAAAGAGGATTAGGGGGGGGGGGGATGTTGGGGAAGGGCTGGGAGGGGAATGAGCATGAGTGGTAGGGTAGTGGGCAAGGGAATTCAGACTGGGGGCCATGCCAGCGCTGATGAAGATGATGAGGACGACGACGACGATGATGTTGCTGTAGTGGTGTTGGTGATGGTGGCGATGTGTGCTGTGCTAGAGACTGTGCGTCTCAGGCTAAGGGGTACGCTCATGTGTGTGCGTTCGTTGCGATGTGCGTCCATGCATGCATGCATGTGTGCGTGCGTGCATGGTTGTGTTCACGTGTGCATGCAATTCTGTATGTATGTGTGCATGTATGCATGTATGCATGTTTATCTACATGTGTGGCTGTATGCATGTGTGCATGTGTGCATGTATGCATTTATGCATGTATGCATGTATGTGTGTCATGTGTGCATGTGTGCATGTATGCATGTATGTGTGCCATGTGTGCATGTATGCATGTATGTGTGCCATGTGTGCATGTGTGCATGTATGTGTGCCATGTGTGCCATGTGGGCATGTGTGCATGTATGCATGTATGTGTGCCACACGTGTGCATGTGTGCATGTATGCGTGTATGTGTGCCATGTGTGCATGCCGTGCACACAGGCAGGGCAGTCGAGCGGCGACGAGGGCAAGATCAAGTGGCGCTACGCGCCGACCTCCAAGGAGGAGAGGCAGTGGGCCGAGGCCAACAGAAAGAGCGCCAAAATGGTGGTGCGTGGCCCTGTCCAAATAACTCCTTTCCAGATAACTCCTCTCCACGCCACCCCTGTCCAGATAACTCCTTTGCATATGGATTTTGAGTTCACTCGACAGTCAAGTCAACCCCTTTCCCTCTCCCCCCGCCGCTCTCCCTTCCCTTCCTCCGTCTCTCTGTTCCGCTCTTCAGGCCCTCTCGGTCTCTCTCCCTTCCTTCCTGGTCGTTCTTTCCTTGTCGTGTTTACTGTATGAGTCGCATCGTCAGCCACAGCCACGCAGCTCACTAACTCTCACATTCCTCGAACCCCTCCGTCCCTCCCACCCCCCTTGTCACTCGCTTAGCTTACTTCCCTCTGTTCCCCCCTCTCGTCCCTCTGCGCACCTCTCTCTGTCCCTGTGCGCCAGATGGCATTCGTGGAGAAGGAGGAGCCGTTGACCCCGGAGCAGATAGCAGAGAGGGAGAGGAAGCAATACGAGGAGGTGGCATGACATGATAGCTTATGACACTTGGGGCCATGGTCTATGGGCTAGGTGTTAGGGGCTAGGGTCTTGGTTGGCATTAGGATCTAGAGACTAGGAGTTAGGGGCTAGGGCTTGCAGCCATGGGCTACGGGCGAGATGCAAGGGGCTATGTTTTAGGAGCTTAGGGGCTAGGGACTAGGGCTATTCACGAGGTTTGCTCCCCTTTCACTACCTCCTCTCACCCATCACCCAACGTTCCATTCGATTTAGAACTACCCTCACAACAACCCAACCATCATATGATATCCACAATTGGTCCAATTCATGGTTCTGCTACCTACCTACCCCCTCCTTGTTACATCCCCGTCCGCTCCCCTCCCACTGTCAGCTTTCGGCCTGCTTTTATACATCTCTCCAGCCGACCTTTTTAATCTTCCCTGCGCCTCGTTCAAGCATTCCCCCACCCTCCCCCCCCTCTTCCCCTCCCCCCCCCCCTCAAACAAAGCAGCTGAAGCAAAGCCTGGTGCTGACGACCCTGGGGCTAGGAGTGGCGTTCACCGGGACTGCTGCTGTGTTGTACAGCCCGGAGATCGCTGTCAGGTGAGGAGAGAATGTAGTGGGGAGAAGAGTGGGGCAACAATCAATACGTGAGGAGTCTATTTTTGAGGCGCCTCAAAAATAGACTCCTCACACAGGTGAGGAGAGAGAGTAGTGGGGAGAGGAGTGGGGCAACAATCAATACTGCTGCTGGGCTGTACACCCCTGAGGCCGCTGTCAGGTGAGGGTGGGTGGAGGACTGGAAAGAGGGAGCAGTGGAGGACCAATGGCACTACACCACATCTGCACCCCCACATCTGTCTTGCTCGGATTCTGCTCACATCACATCTGCACCCCCCCATGCACATCTGTACGTACCCCCCATGCACATCTGTAACCCCCCATGCACATCTGTAACCCCCCATGCACATCTGTAACCGCGCACATACGTACCCCTCCACTTCCCCTGCGCCCTGGCAGCTACGCAGTGGGCGCAGTGGGCTTGCTGGTGTACGTACGTGCGCATACTCTCCTCTCCGCCTCTTCCCCACACCCTCCCCTCCTTGCGCGTCTGTACCCCCCTCCCACTTCCCCCTCCCCATCCTCCCCCTGGCAGCTATGCGGTGGGCGCGGTGGGGTCGCTGGTGTATGTGCGCATGCTCTCCTCCAGCGTGGAGGCCCTGGGGGCCAGCAATGTGCAGGGCGCTGTCAGGTATGCTGCGCGTGCAGGCCGTTCTCTGTGATGTCGTGTCGGATACCAAGCTTGTGTGCCCTCCGCATGCAGGCCGGGCCGTTCTTTGTGCTGTGAGGTGCCAAGCCTGTGTCCGCATGCAGGCCTTGTGTGCTGCCTGCCAGGTGCCCAGTCCGTTCCTTGTACTGTGAGGTACCAGTCTGTGCGCATACTCTCATCCATCCAACGTGGAGGCCCTGGGGGCCAACAATGTGCAGGGGGCGATCAGGTATGCCGCGCGTGCCATGGCGCCGCCTGTGCGTTGTGCTGTGTGTGCATGTTGATGCGCCACCAAGCCCTGGGGGCTAACTCCGTGCAGGGAGACCATGCTTTGTGGTGTGATGTGGGGTACTAAGACTGTGAGAGGGAAATGACAGTCTGTACAAAGGCCGTGCATGTCTATTTGCGCATGGGCATGTGCATGGGCATGGGCATTACTATATGCCTTGCGGTTGACCTGTAGTGTGGTGGACCAGGCCAGCAGTGTGTGTGTGTGTGTGTGGTGGGCTTTGGAGGCTCACTCCGTACCTACCCCAGGCAGCGCCTGTATAGACTGTAGTACGTTGTCTATGTCAACTCCATGCCATTTGCAGCTGCTCTTAGGGTTTGAGGTGCCTCAAACCACCTGCAGGTCGCAGCTGAGGTTTGAGGAGGTGAGGGGCAGGGGGGATGGGGGGAGGAGGGGGAAGGAGGGGGGAAGGAGGGGGGAGGAGGGGGAAGGAGGGGGGAAGGAGGGGGGAAGGAGGGGGGAAGGAGGGGGGAAGGAGGGGGGAAGGAGGGAAGGCGCGCATGCCCCAGCAGGGCAAACAAGAGGCCCAGCTTTTTTAGGTTCACGCTGTGTGCTGGCTCCTCCCTCCCAGCTCGGATTCGATCATGGGTGGCCACGGTCGTATACTCGGTCTTATCTTTGTCGCTGCTCTTATTGGCTCTTGGTTCGACGCTCATTCCTCTCTGTCCCCCCATCCTTGCCTCGCCTCTCTCTCCCCCCTGTTCTTCCCTGTGAGTGCAGGGGAGCTGTGGGGCAGCCGCGGCTGCTGGTGCCGGTGGTGCTGGTGATGACATTCAACCGATGGAACGAGTAGGGCTTCGTGGTGTGAGGGCGTGATGTCATACTGCTATGCTGCGATGCTGTGATGCTGCGATGCTGTGATGCTGCGATGCTGCGATGCTGTGATGCTGTGATGCTGCGATGCTGCGATGCTGTGATGCTGCGATGCTGTGATGATGCGATGCTGGGATGCTGGGATGCTGCGATGCTGTGATAGTGCGATGCTGTGATGCTGCGATGCTGTGATGCTGTGATGCTGTGATGTGCTGGCATGGTGTGGAGGGATGGCAAAACGTCTTGCTCCCGAGTTCTCAATCTTGCCATTCTCGAGTGCGTCATGGCATCGCCAAGCGCAACTCTCATTCCCACTGCATGGGCGACACCATCTCCGTCTCGCCCCATTTCCTTCCTCCTCATGCATCTGTCTCCCCAACCTCTCAATCACTCACATTTTCACCATATGTTTGCCCTGCATGCAGGATTCTGGTCTCCCAGTACAGTGCAGTGCTGTGTCTCTGGAGCTCATCCCCATGCTCGTGGGGTTCTTCACATATAAGGCTGCTACCATCACACAAAAGAGCCATTCATGTGTCTGTCTCCCCCCTCTCAATCATTCTCATATGTTTGCCATGCGTGCAGGATCCTAGTCCCTCAGTACGGCGCAGTGCCCCTGGAGCTCATCCCCATGCTCGTGGGGTTCTTCACCTACAAGGCTGCCACCATCACACAAGCCCTGCAGGACATGCTCGCCCCCTTTGCTCCGCCTCCTTCCTCCGCCTCCTCTTCCTCCTCTTCCTCATCCTCGTCTTCGTCCTCTTCCTCCTGATCTTCCCTTTTTTACGGTACAAAATGCTATTGCCAATATGTTGGGATAGTACCGGTAGTTTGATACTGCAGCTTCTCAAGCGTGCGGCTTGAAGGCTAGTGAATGACTTATGCGGAATGCCGTGCCATCATTTGTCTTATGCAGGAATGATGGGAGATTCTTACCTGCCATAGTGCATGATTACTTATTATAGTAACTTTGTATTTTGTTGCCCAATATTTAATTTAAAAAACAAAACATGGATTACACTTCTCCAATGTAGGAAGCACCAATTCCTCGCTCTACGACCCGCTTTAAGCCCTGCTTCTGTCATCTGCGAGTGGAAGGTTGTGGTCAAAAACCCCGTCTCCGCTCCCCCAGACGACAGAGCTGGTTACCAGGGGCCGCCAGTCCGTCCCCGCTACTAGCCATGCTTCGTATCGTTACAAGCCGAGGCTCGTCAGCATGTGGCAGCCGTGCCTTACGGCGCCGCGTGCGTGCACTGATGGACGTGTTCCCGCCCACGACTTCCACTACTCCGCCTGCGCCGATTATTCCGCCTGCGCCCTGCTCTGCTGCGCTCGCCTCCGCCGTTGCTCCCAGCCCTGCTGCCCGCGCGGATCCCTGCTGCCGTGGCCCCGCTACCCCTAGCGTCGCCGCCGCTCCCCCGACCTCCTTCGCAATCTCGCCCGCTCCCGCGCGTTCCGCCGCGCATTCCCCACATTCCCCTCACTCCCCGCATTCCCCTCATTCCACTCGTTTCGCCAATGACATCGTGGACGGCGCACGGCGGTTCAGTGCGCTTACTCCGCGCCCCCCTCGCTCCCCCCAATCTCCGCACTTCCCCCCCGCGCGCCTAAACCGCGTGCCTTCCGCGTTCCCCAGCGGCGGAGGTGGTAGGGCTAGAGGCGGGGAGGGCGAAATGGATGGGGGACGGAGATGGTATGGCGGTGATTCGAGTAAGAGGGCAGGAGGTGCGGGCGAGGGGGTGTTGCTACGAGGGGAGGGAGGGGAGGGAGGGGAGGGAGGAGAGGGAGAGGAAGGAGGGGAGGAGAGGGAACGGGACGAGACGGTGGAGAGAGGAAGCAGAGAGGAGGAAAGGGCAGAAGGAGGGGGATTGGACGAGGAAGAGGAAGCGGAAGGAGATGCCAGTGTGAACCTTTCGTTTCACCCCTCTGGACTGGTATTTGCCGTTCCTTCATCCTTTTCGCTCTCCTGGCGTATAGGTCTATGTTTGTGTATGTGCGTGTGTAGGTGTGTGTGTAGGTGTGTGTGTGTTTGTGTGGGTGTGGGTGTGGGTGTGGGTGTGGGTGTGGGTGTGTGTCCATATCCGTACATGCACTCCCATACACAAAACTTTAACGGCCATTATGTATTTTAACGTTCAATTGTGCTGCCCTGTGAGCTGTGCGCCATTCGTACTTCTCTAGCAGCCATCTCACATGCTCCACCTTATTTTCCTCCTCCCCTTCCTCCTCCCCTTCCTCCTCCCCTTCCTCCTCCCCTGCCCTCGTCCCCCTCAGCCCCCTTCCCAGCTGCCTTTCCTCTCGCCATCGGAGGCCGCTCGTCTCTTGGAGAAGGCGCGCGCACGGGACATCCGCATTCTCAACGTGGCGGGGCGCTGTGAGTGGGCGGAGCACCTCGTGCTCGCCACGGCACACTCCACTCGACATGCCAGAGGGCTGGCGGCAGGGCTCGCGTATGAGGCGAGTTGTGCGCTTCAGGCGCGTCATGTGCTGCTGGGCAGGGCACGTGCTGGTGTGCGTTGTTTGCTGCGCTGTTGTGCGAGCGAGCGAGTAACCAGGCTTGTTGGCTGCCTGAGACAACCAGCACTGGATGAGAGAAGGTGGACACCAGACCAGAAGTCGGAAACATTCCCTGGGCTGGGCCCAAGTCTGGCTGGATGTGTTGTCAATTTTGTCACGCAGGCCGCCCTTCCCCACTCCCCCCATTGCTATCTTCCCTGCCTTCCTCTTCACTGCCCCATTTCACTCATCCCCTTCCCGCCCGGCCTCACAGCCCACTCCACGCTCTCTAACGCCTCGCCACCCCTGCTCACTGGCACCCTTTTCCTTCCCGCGTTGCTCATCTTATCCACTCTCTCGCCAGTTGAAGCAGCGGTATGTGCGGGAGGGGCTGGCAGCACTGGCACCGGAGGTGGAGGGCAAGGAGGCGGAGCACTGGATGCTGCTGGACTGCGGTCAGTGGGCACTCGGCTTTGGGCACTGGGCACTGATGGTTGCCTGCCCTGAGCATGTGGACAAAGTAGCTCCCTTGGGGGCTTGTTTTCTGGGAAGAAAAACAGCTGCCGTTTTCCAAGTTGCTGCTTTGGGGCTTGCAGTGGCTGGCTTGGGGCTCACCACCACTTGCTGTGCATTATTATGCTCGCCACCTCGGTCTTTCTACCCTCTATACCTGCTCTCTGCTTGCTTCGTAGGCTCTTTATCAACTGGTTTGGTGTGAAAGTCCATCCATCCATCCATCCGTCCATCCATCCATCCATCCGTCCATCCATCCATCCGTCCGTCCATCCATCCATCCATCCATCCATCCATCCATCCATCCATCCATCCATCCATCCATCCATCCATCCATCCATCCATCCATCCATCCATCCATCCATCCATCCATCCATCCATCCATCCATCCATCCATCCATCCATCCATCCATCCATCCATCCATCCATCCATCCATCCATCCATCCATCCATCCATCCATCCATCCATCCATCCATCCATCCATCCATCCATCCATCCATCCATCCATCCATCCATCCATCCATCCATCCATCCATCAATCCATCCATCCATCCATCCATCCATCCATCCATCCCGTCACCCCTCCCCCTCCCGTTTTCCCGTTTGTCAGTAGTGGCTTCCTTCTCACCCAACAGCTTCACTTCTCCTTCCTCCAAACCCCCCCCCTCCCCCCCCCTTCTCCTTCCCCAGCCCAACTCCCCTCGGTTTCCTTTTTCGCAGCAGGGCGCACGGTGGTGCATGTGATGACGGAGGAAGGCAGGCGGAGGCGAGCCAATCTCTCAGTCGCATCAAAAGATCCTCCTCCCTCCCCCCCCCCTCCCCTCCCCCTCTCCCCTCTCTCCCCCGGTGCAGGGCGCACGGTGGTGCATGTGATGACAGAGGAGGGCCGGCAGAGGTACAAGGTGGAGGCGCTGTGGGGGGAGAAGGGGAAAGGAAGGGGGGAGGACAACGACGACGGGGATGTGCTCCTGGGCACGCGGGGTTAGGGAGAAACGCGGGGAAGCGCCGATATAACTGGGAGCCCCAAGAACGCTATGATGACTGAGGGGGGGGCAGGCGGAGGTACTACAAGGTGGAGGCACTGTGGGGGGAGAAGGGGAGGGGGGAGGACGACGACAGTGGGGAAGCGCTCTCGCGGGCACACGGGGTATGGGAGAAAGTCACTGACTGACGCCCTCATATAAAGGCCCTGATATACGTGGTACGATTCCTCACCTGATGCTGCCTGTCTGGTTCACTGGGGCCCTCTGCTGCCAAGAAGAGGCATGGGGTTAGGTAGGAGGAAGACGCTTGTCCCGGCTGGTGCGTGCCTTCCTGCATGGGCTGTGCTTTTAGCTGGGATGGTTACTGTTGTTATAATAATGGTACCCAGGGCCTCAGATAGGATTTTGGGCATCCTGACGGCTCAGGGCATGCCCCCAAAGAAGTGTGCAGCAGTCAGGGCTGGACGCCATGGCTCACACTGATTAGTCAGGGTTGTTTTCTAGGTTCAAACTATCGCCTCAGGGTAAATTTATAAATTGCCTGAAATGTGGCTCAAGGTCACTTAGCTGCATCAGCAGCAGCAACAGCAATACAAAGCTCTAACACTAGAAGTTCCCATCATCATCATCACTGGAGTTAAACCCGCTGCTAGCACAGCTGTCCTCCTCTACCTCACGGTCCTCCTCCTCAGAGAGTTCTATCACCTTCTCCTTGCCCTTGGCCGTCTTCTTGGGGCGTACTTCCTTCTGAAAAGCTCTCCTCGGTCTGCGTTTCTTGAGGCCACGCCACACGTCAATGACCTCATCCCAGTCCATCTCATAATCCAGCAAACTCATACACATCAGGTCCTCCAGCTTCCCAATGCAGAGACTCGTGCGATTCCAACTTTTGATGACATTCTGACGCAAGAATCCCCTCTCGCACTCGACATTGCTTAGGGGAAGTACCGCCACAGCCACCCACAATAGCACAAGGTTGGGGTAGCTGCGCGGCCAGTCACTGGTCTCGAGGATGGCGGCGAGACTAGCATGGAAGGGCTGCTCTGTCAAACATGTTTAGTTATCATGCTTGTATAGACTGTATAGGGTCATCTTCTAGAGAGTACAACTGTTAGGTATATGTTTGTGTACTCTCTCTCTCTATTCATCAATTTCACTGTTTGATATGGTATCACGCGTAGGTAGGATCCCCCCCCCCCCCCCCCTCACGCTTCCGCTCGCCCCCTAGCTGGGCCCCGTCGTGCTCCTAGCCCCGTCGCGACCCTCCCTAGCCCCGTCGCGACCCTCCCTAGCCCCGTCGCGCCCCTTCCTGGGCCCCGTTGCGCCCCTTTCTGGGCCCCGTCGCGCTCCTCCCAGGCCTTGTAGCGCCCCTCCAGGCCCCGTCGCGCCCCTTTCAGGGCTTCGTAGCGCCCCTCCAGGCCCCGTCGCGCCCCCTTCCAGGGCCTGGTAGCGCCCCTCCAGGGCCCCGTCGCGCTCCTCCCAGGCCCCGTAGCGCCCCTCCTGGGCCCCATTGCGCTCCTCCCAGGCCCCGTCGCGCCCCTCCCTAGCCCAGTCGCGCTCCTCCCAGGCCCCGTAGCGCCCCTCCTGGGCCCCTTTGCGCTCCTCCCAGGCCCCGTCGCGCCCCTTTCAGGGCTTCGTAGCGCCCCTCCAGGCCCCGTCGCGCCCCTTCCAGGGCCTGGTAGCGCCCCTCCAGGGCCCCGTCGCGCTCCTCCCAGGCCCCGTCGCGCCCCTCCTGGGCCCCATTGCGCTCCTCCCAGGCCCCGTCGCGCCCCTCCCTAGCCCAGTCGCGCTCCTCCCAGGCCCCGTAGCGCCCCTCCTGGGACCCATTGCGCTCCCCCCAGGCCCCGTCGCGCCCCTACCTGGGCTTGGTAACGCCCCTCCAGGCCCCGTCGCGCCCCTACCCATCCCCGTCGCCCCTGCTCGGCCCCGTCGCCCCTGCTCGGCCCCGTCGCCCCTGCTCGGCCCCGTCGCCCCTGCTCGGCCCCGTCGCGGCCTATCGGCCGCGTGGCGCCCGCCCGGCCCTTGTCGCGGCTGCCCGGCCCCTGTCGCACCTGCCCGGCCCCTGCTCGCCCGCCCGGCCCCGTCGCCCCTGCCCGGCCCTGCTGTGGCCTGCCCGGGCCCCGTCCCTGCCGCCCGGCCCCGTCGCAGCCGCCCGGCCCCGTCGCAGCCGCCCGGCCACGTCGCAGCCGCCCGGCCACGTCGCAGCCGCCCGGCCCCGTCGCCCCTGCCCGGCCCTGCTGTGTCCGGCCCGGCCTCGTCCCTGCCGCCCGGCCCCGTCGCAGCCGCCCGGCCCCGTCGCAGCCGCCCGGCCACGTCGCAGCCGCCCGGCCTTGTCGCTGCCGCCCGGCCCCGTCGCCGCCGCCCGGCCCCGTCGCAGCCGCCCGGCCCCGTCGCCGCCGCCCGGCCTTGTCGTGCCTGCCCGGCCCCGACGCACCTGCCCCGGCCCTCCATACTTCCTGGTACTGTCCCCCGTTCCCCGCACCACTTTGCACCCTCCTGCACTTTCCTGCCCCGCCTTGCATCGCATTGCACCTCCCTGGATCGCACTAACCGCACTGCACCGCACTGGACCGCACTGCACCGCACTGCATCGCACTGCACCGCACTGGACCGCACTGCACCGCTCTGCATCGCACTGCACCGCACTGCACTGTCCTCCACTGCCCCTCATGGCTGCTGAGCTTCGTTTTGATGTTGAGGGTCAGCCTCTGGAGTTCGAGGCGTGGTTGGCTGACCTTCGCCGCCACCTCACTGGCCAGCGGCAGGACGGCCACCCGCTTTCTGCACACCTAGACGGTATGCTCCCCTGCCCTGACCCCCCTGCTGTGCTGCCCGCTGATCCCACGCCCGCTGAGCGCGAGTCCACTGCCGCTGCTGCCCTTGCCCGCTCTGTCTGGCTTTCCCGCGATGCCCTTGCTCAGCTCGCCATTAGCAATGCCCTCCCCCCCACTGAGCGCCCTCGCTTTAGAACCATTCCTACCGCCCAGGCCTACCTCGATGCTGTCATCAAGCGCTATTCTACCCTCCTGCTGCCTCAGTGGGTCGCCTGATCCTTCCCCTGCTCTTTCCTGACCTGACGTCTTTCCCCACTGTCTCTGACCTCGCTGCCCACCTGCGCTCGATAGATGAGGCCTGGCGCGCTGCCTGCACTGATGCTCAGCTTAGAGTCCACCAGCCTCCCATGACCTCTACCCTCTACCTCCTTGCCACCCGCCTACCTGACCGCCTTGCCGCCGCCCGCGACCAGTTCCTTAGCATCCACCCTGCTGCTCTCACCCTCACCGACTTTGTTGACACCCTGACTGCCATAGAGACTCGTCACCGCTCCATAGCCCTGGCGAGCGGTACAGTACCGGTCCCTATCTTTCAGGGTTGTGCCCCCGCTCAGTGTACCTTCTCCGACGGCTCTGTCGCTGTGGCTGAGACTGCTGCTGCAGTGCAGTCCCGCTCGGCGAAGGGCCGCCGCCCCAAGGTTGGGAGCGGCGGAGGCGGCGGGGGTGCGGGTGGGGGTAGTGGTGGAGGCGGGTCGTCCGGTGCCGGTGCGGACGTGGGGACCCTGCCCGGTCCAGCTGCCCCGCTGCCTCCACAGTTGCAGCAGCCGCAGCAGCAGCAGTCGCCGCAGCCGCAGCCTTCGCAGCAGCCGCAGCAGCCGCCGCAGACGAGGCAGGCGAGTACTCTCCCACCTGGGTGGCCTGGAGCTGGTGGTGGTCGTGCGCGTGGTGGTGCACCGGGTGGTGGTTCTGGAGGCGGGCCCTGTCAGTACCAGATCCAGACCGGTCCTCGCCGCGGCTTCGTTTGCGGTAAGATCGGTCATTCTACTCCTCGCTGTTTTCGTCGCCTGGACGACCTGTTCCGCCAGCGCTTTGGCCCGGCGCCCGACCTCCCGGACTGGCACAGCTTGCTTAGGCGTAGCATTAGGATTTTTGACTTGGACATGGATGCCATTGTAGCGGCCTTGCATGTGATGTATGCTGATGACTCTAGTGTGCTTCCCTCTTATTACCCCGTGTTGCCTAGTGTAGCGGTGCCTAGCGTAGACTCCCCTGCTGCGTCAGGCGTAGGATCTCCTGCTTTGCTTAGCCTTGGTGCTTCCACCGCTTCACTGCTGCCTCGCGCGACTGCTGCGCTTTCCTTCACCTTGGACTCTGGCGCCTCCCGGTGTTTCTTCCGCGACTCCACGACGCTGACGCCGCTGCCTGTTCCCGCTGCAGTTACTCTTGCTGACCCCTCCGGTGGTCCCGTCGTTGCCCGCAGTTCCACCTCCCTTCCCTGTCCGGCGGTTCCTTCGGGCACTCTCACAGGTCTGCATATCCCCTCGTTCTCCAGGAACCTAGTTGGTGTCGGCTGCCTCCAGGACCTTGGCGTCACCACTACGTTCCCTGGTCACGAGCGGTATGCTGTCTGTACCGAGGCCGCCACTGGTGCCCCCCTGTCCACGTTCCCCCGGGACCCAGTGTCCGGCCTGTTCACTCTGGACACCGTGACCCCCCGGCTGGAGCGCTCCCTCAGGTGGCTGCGTCTACCCAGGTTGCTGCTGCCTGCTCCTGTCGGTCCCTCACTCACCCGACTCTCCTTTGGCACCACCGCCTAGGTCACCCTGCGCTCCCGCGTCTGCGTCACATGTCCCAGCACGGTCTCGTCCTTGGTCTCCCCGGTTCGTTCCCCGAGTTTCCCTCCTCCCCCGCCCCACCGTGCACGCCTTGTGTCGAGGGCCGGCTCCGCCGTGCCCCTCACTCCTCCTCTTTTCCCCCTACCACCGCACCACTGCAGACTCTGCACATGGACGTCTGGGGCCCAGCCCCGGTCCATGGGCCGCGTCGCGAGCGCTTCTTCCTAGTGCTTGTCGACGACTTCACGCGCTACACCACCGTCTTCCCCCTGGAGCGGAAGGCCGACGTGCCTGACGTTCTCATCCCCTGGCTTGTCTCTGCTCGTGTCCACCGCGGTCTCCCTGCCTTGCGCCTTCACTCCGACTGGCACTTCTACCACCCGCCGTCTCACCGCTTCTTTCACTCTCGCAACGTCACCTTTGACGAGTCCGTCTCCTTCTACCGCCGCTTTCCCCACCGTGGTCCCCCGGTTACTCCCCCCCTTTTCCTGGTTCCTCCCTCCCTGGTGGTCCCTGCCCCCTCCCCCCCCCCTGCCCCCCCGTCCGGCCCCCTCTGGTGTGTCTCACGTCACCCCCCTCCCGTCGGTCGTCCCGGTCGACGAGTCTTCTGACTCTGGTAGTCCTCCGGCGCAGTCCTCGCCGTCTGTCCCTCCCCCGGTGTCTCCTCCTCCACCGCCTCTGCAGCCGCCGTCGCCGCAGCTGCTGCAGCCGTCGTCTCCACCGCCGCCGCCGTTGCAGCCGTCGTCTCCGCCGCCGCCGCCGTCGCAGCCGTCGCTGCAGCCGCCGCCGCCGCCGCCGCTGTCGTCGCTGCCGCCGTTTGTGGACTCTGGGGGTGTCCCTTCTGGGGGTGCCGGTGTGGAGGGTTCGGGAGGTAGCCGTCGCGCAGCTTGTGGCCCTGGTGTTGGTGTTGTGTCGCCGCAGCAGCAGTCCCCGCCTGTGTCC